ATCATTATGCTCGATAACCCCGATTCGACCATAGAAAATTAATACTTTCCTATTGTTTAATGATTTTGATCTTGCAACATTGATATATATGGATTACCTATTTTTCATTCTTTTTATTTACTTACCTTTTGTATAATTTGTTAAGTTTGTTCGATAAACAAGTCTATTGGTTTTAGAGTCGTGGCACGGATAGACTGCCAGCGTATTTGTAGACGGTCACACCCTCGACTATCCGTACTTCTACGTCCCTTTACCTTCCTCTCTCCATATTCCTCAGTTAGTATCCAGGAACGAAAACTAATCCTAAAAGCTGTACCTACAATTTTTTAACCGTAATTCGGAGTATTTAATACAAGTGCCTATATTTAAAATAGATACAGTCGACCCCCCTATAACACTGTTGATAATTCAGTTTTATATGAATTCCATGTTGTACGAGTCACTTAGATTTTACAAATAAGTGAGCTGTTCACACGTATGAGTCACATGTATTTGTAAAATCTAAGCGACTTGTACAACATGGAATTCATATAAAACTGAATTATGGAATGTTATAGGGGGGTTGACTGTAGTGTGTTTTTAATATAAAATATAAATATAATTTGAAGATAATGTTTAAGTCATTTCACTTAAGTGTTGGCTAAATTAATTTGGGCTTAACCGAGGGAGAGAGAGAGAGAAATTTGCCAAAATCTCTCCCCATCTTCAGAACCTGTATATAAATTAAGCATTTTAAAAATACTTCTTGTGTACTTTATGATATTTAGTTACTTCCTGTCATTAAATACTAACTTTTTAACGTGCGCAATATAATTAAATTATAAATTATCTGAATTTATATTTCATAAATTTCAAATTACATGTGACGACGACAACAATTCCGCGGTGAGAATCATTTATCAGAAAATACATTTATAAATAAATTGCTAGGACAGGAATTTATGGTAAAAACAATTAATTCCGAAACTTATCACAAGATAAGAAATGGCACAAAATAAAATAATTTCAATATTTATTTCCTAGATTGACTATGCTTATGAATTCAATGCAATCTCTTATCTTGTGGCAAATCATGGAAATCATTCTTCTCTTTATTATCTTTGTAGAAATCTCCATTATCTGGTTATAAAAAGTATTTTTATTTAATTTATGCTAAGACTCTCATAAGTAGATTAATTACTAGTATAATCACTTGTGCTTTTTATACTTTTTTGTACTTGTACTTGATTTTTATGTACAAAATATACAAGTTTTCTGTATCCAAAAGGTCATTTGGCTTAGTGTACATTGTATGTTGGATTATTCTAATTCATTTGAAAATAATCCAACAATTTACATCTCTAAATGCCGTTTCTATCTTTGTCGGATACTTTAAGCGTAGCCGTATTTATCAATCTGCATTTTTAAATATTAAAAATCAATAGTAAGTTTACTTATAAATGTATATTATACAGTCGACCCTCCTATAACACTGTTGATTATTCAGTTTTATGTGAATTCCACATTGTACGAGTCGCTTAGATTTTACAAATACGTGTGCCGGGCTGCGGACGGCTGGTATATTTGTAAAATCTAAGCGACTCGTACAACACGGAATTCACATAAAATGGAATAATCAACAGTGTTATAGGGGGTCGACTGTATTTACAAGTTGATATAAATTAGACGAAAATCTTGTATTTTATTCTTCGGATGAATGTATAGTTTTGTTTCTGGTTAAATCCTACACCGGATCATCAAGCATCACAACTACTGAAGGTGTTGGATGTTTTAACCAAATTTATTTTTAAGCTAACATAAATTTGGTGCTGGAAGTAAGTTTGGACTTTGATTTTTACATATGTATATCCTTTAGTTTACTAAAGTACAAGCTTGACAGGTGTAACAAAGATTTCATAAACAAATAACATACAAATTATAACTAATTTGGTTAGGTTTGTGTAGAAATAATATGATGTTTTTTGCTAGGAGGGCGACCCAAATCCTTGTCTTTCTTTAATGTTAGAAGATTGAATAGATGTATGCGAATACTTAGAGGGATAGGATAGTTTGTATGCCATCCGAGGACATAAGTTGGGGTCCACGCCCGGGATTCCAACCGTTTAAGACATCTTTTTGTGTGGATTTATTGTTTACATTGTAGAATTTATATTTTAGCTATTTGTTTATTATTATTAGGGGATTGCTGTAGAGCCTACCCCAGGGAGTTCTACCACTACACTTCATTTCTTCAGTCTACACCCTGGGGTGCAGACCAAAGAGAGAGAGAGAGGAGAGGAGAGGAAGAAGAGGAGAGAAGGTACCCAGCAGATAGGGTGGGAATGTCTATTATTATTAGGGGACAAATTACAAATAAAAAATTATGTAAGGTGACCGATAACAATACGTCGTTAGGGGATTTGTGTATTAGTCTTTGCCAAGACCCCTTTCGGATTGGTAAGGAAGGGTGGTTTGGGATTACGTAATCGATTGCCTCGGACGTGGAACGAGCGCCCGGGCATCCTTTCCGGTCAAACCGGGCGGTCGACCCACTTAGTGCTCCGCCGACTACATTAAATTTGTAGAATTAAAGGGGGTAGATTAGAGCAGCCGTGTCTACCGGCACATTCCGTCATTAAGGAGCGCTTTAAAACTTGTTAATTAATTGTTAAACTAGATTTTCGGATAATTACGCCCGTCGAGCTCCGGCTACGTACAAAACTTTGTAGTTTAACTCGGACAAAGTGTCATTAGAAAGTAATGTACACACACTGGAAGTTTCACTTTGTAAATGTATTCGGCAAACTTCTGTTACACGCGTGTAATTACTAATAATATTTAGTCTACTATAAACGACGTAATTTGTAAACAAAAACTCTAAAGTACGTTATTTATTAAGCTCGGGTGTGTGCCGTTTACATAATAAATCTGGAGGGGGGAACGTCGAGAAACAAACTGCGCCCTTTACTGTAATTCCCATTGGTTTTAGTGAAGCGCGGGATGACCCAAAAGATAGTTTACGGCGTGGAGTAGGCTGTGGTTTAAGCGAAACACCGACTCGAAAGTGTGTTTGTGAGTTGGTGTTACTTTAAATGCGGCTCCGTATGGAAATTCGAGGCCACGTTGTAAGAGTTGGAAGCCATAAACGAAGTTTTGGGACACCCCGTATTTAACACGGAAGAGGTAATTTCGATTTTATTCTACTCGTTTTCTCTACTTACGAGTGTTTTCCTAATTGATTATTGTTTATTTCTTCCACGTAAGCATTGTTTCGTATGGGGGTAGCTTTAAATGTCCGGGGTGGCTTGTGGTAGCGCGCCTCGTCTATTCCCGACGTGGTTTCTGCCTTACGCCAGTGACGTCGGAGAAAGTCGAGGACGGACCCTGGCGTGTTTTAGTTTAATAAAGAGAGAGAGGGAGGGAGAAATCGTCTACGTCGTGCGCGCGCGAGGCGCTGGCTGCGTGGTTTTTAGCGTCACGCGGCGTAGGCGGCGACGTAACGTAGGTTTTTATTAAGGCGACGAGGGGAGTGCGGGAGAAGACCCGGCGGTAACGAACCGAGTCGACGACTTTTAATTGTTTGAGTCACCGGAAGAGAGCGGTATTAATCATACCCGGCGTACGCGACGTCGCTCCGTCCGTCCGGCTCTCGCCTCGGTCGTCGCGCCGCGGCCACCCGCTCGTCCCCCTCTCCTCCGCCGACTTCCGATCGATGCAAACGAGATTTGCCCCGCGCTCCTCTCCCGTTCGGGAAATCCCTCGTCCAGTCCCGGACCCCTTCGTCGGCGCGCCGGGGCGCGAGCCGCATTTCCAGGACGAGACGACGGGGGAGAAGAGGGTGGAAAAAGACGTTTGGGAAAATTATCGCCTTGGAACCGGATGTAGATCCGGGAAGGGGGACTTGGCTGGCGCGCGCCGGGCCACGACTCCCTCCGGCCGATTTAACGCCGGTCGGGGAGGAAAGATTGGAGAAGACGGCAGCTTTCGTCCACGCCGAGATTTAACGGGAATTTAAACGGGACGGATCGCCTCCCGGCTCTTTTCCGCGCCGCGCGGCGGAAGAGGAAGGAAGACGCGCCCGAGCGCCGGAAGCGGATCTCGGCTTCCTCTCCCCGTCGCTCGAAATCGGAGCTCCCGGAAACTTCTCGACCCGTCCTTCGCCTTCCTCTTTTTTTTCTGCCGCGTTCTTCCGGTTTCGACTTCGGTGGCGCGCGCGTCCTCCGTCCGCTCTTTCGATGGGTTCGAAGCGCTGTCGACGCCGAGGACGCCGCGGGTCCTTTTCGTCGGCGCGCCCCCGTTCGACCGTCGGATTCCTTTCTTCCCACGCCGAGGCGAAACGTGGGAAGACAACCGGTTTCCCGCCGCGGCCGTCGGTCTTCGTCGTCTCTCTTCCGGTCCGGAGAACGGCGACGTCCGGGTCGGGCGAAACGACACGTTTTCCGCCGGCGCGAGCCGTTTTCGCTTCCTTCTACGTCGAAGCGCGTCGCTTCCGCCGGCGGTCCTCTCGGTCTTCCTCTGTCCCGTCCACGTTTAACCCGGGTCTTCCCGTTCCCTTTGGAGAGGTCTCTCCAAAAACTCTTTAAAGCGCCGCGCGGAGTTCCGATTTCCTCCCGGAAATTGCGGAACGGGACCCGAATCTTTTGGCTGCCGTTCCGTTTTTGCTCCGGCGCTCCTCTACGTTTTTCGGAAACGATTTTCGGACCGTCGCGGAGAGAATTCGGACGCGTGTTTCCCCCAACAAGTTCGGTGGCTCTGTGCGAAGGGCGACGGAATACTTTCGTTTTTCTCTTCCGGATTCCGTTCAAAGAGTCCGTTCTTCTCTCACTCTTCCGCTTCCCTCTCCCGGGAAGAACGAGGTGTAAATTCCAAACGCAAAGGAACCCGTAGGTGGACGGAGGAAAGACCCCCCTTCCGCCCCGTCGCTCTGCGTTTTCCAGCGAGAAAAACCGTCGTCCCACCTTCCGGGGACGGGCGTTCCTCCCAGATTCCGTCGCCCTCCCAACGGGAGCGGGAAACGTCCTCTCTGCCCGCTGCGCAATGCGGCGGGTCCCGGGACGGGCTCCGCAATGCGACACGTTCCGAGACGGAGATCCGTCGGCGCCTCCCCGGTTCGTCGACCCCGGAGAGGGGAGCCCGCCGGCGGGCCCTCTTCCTCCCCCTTTCCCGCGGCGCCGCTCTCTCCTCCTCCCGGCGTGCGCGAAGGGGCCGCCAATCGGCGTCGGCCACGCGGCGGACGGGGATTGGACGCCGTTCCGCCCGCCGAAGCGCCGGCCGGGGCTTCGCCGACGAATGGGGCGGCGGGCCGTGGCGGAGGGAGGAGGAGCGGCCGCCCGTCGCCGGGCGGGAGAAGGCCGCATGCGCCGCCATGCGCGGACGGACACCGCGCAGCGGTCGGTGGGCCTGCGGGCAGGCCGAGCGCCGAGCGGTCATTGGGCCGGCGAACGGGCAGCGCGGCGGAAGGAAGATCGGTCTGTCCTCGGGCCCGGGGCCGCCGCGGTAAGTCCGGGAGCCCTTCCAGGTGCGGCGCCGCCGCCGCCGTCTCACCTGCCGCCCGGGCGCGCGGAGAAGCCGACTTCTTCCTCCCTCCGGGAAGAGGAGGACGGCCTTCTGACCGCCGATCTCTTCTCCCAGATAAAGCCCGAAGAATGGCGCTGTCGCTGAAGGTCGGCGTGGTGGAGAAGAACGTGGTCAAGACCATTCAGTTCGAACCCACCACCCTTGTGTACGACGCCTGCAGGATCGTCAGGGACAAGATCACCGAAGCCAATCTGGGACAACGTGAGTACCCCTCTCCGCTTCCCTTCCTCTCCCTCCGCGCCTAACCTCTCTTCTTATTCCAGCCAAAGACTATGGCCTGTTCCTGGCCGACGAAGACCCCCGCAAGGGAGTTTGGCTCGAGCCCGGAAGGCAGTTGGAGTATTACCTGCTCAGGACCGGGGTGAGTCCGGGGTCGACCCGAGTTTCCTCTTTTTCCGGCATTACCGGCCCGTCTGACGCCCTTTTCCCCTCTCTTCCCCAGGATCTTCTGGAGTATCGGAGGAAGATTCGCCCTCTTCGAGTCAGGATGCTGGACGGGACGGTCAAGACCGTTCTGGTGGACGACAGCCAGCCCGTGGCCAACCTCATGGTCGTCGTCTGCACCAAAATAGGTGAGCCGCCCTTCCTCTCCTCCTCCGTTCTCGCGGAGGAGAGGAAGGGCTCCGGTGGACCTCGACGGACTGCCTCTTTCGTCTGGTTCAATTGCCCGATTTCTTTCAGGAATCACCAACCACGACGAGTTTTCCCTGGTCAGGGATCTTCCGGAGGAGATCAAGGAGAATTCTACCGGCACTCTCACTCTTAAAAAGGTTCGGCGCCCCTCTGCACCCTTTGTTCTCTCCCGGCTTTCTCTTCCGCCCCAGCTAATTCTAGTTTCTCTCGCAGGAAAAGAAAGACAAGGAAAGAGACCAGAAGATGGAACAGTTGAAGAAGAAGTTGAAGACCGACGACGATCGTAAGTCTCTCCGTTTTTACCTTTCCGCCCGATTTTCGGCACGGTTCCTATTTTTCTTTCTTTAACCGGCAGTGGACTGGGTGGATCATTCCATGACCCTGAGGGAACAGGGCATCAACGAGGAGGAGACCCTCCTGCTGAGGAGGAAATTCTTCTTCTCTGACCAGAACGTGGATTCTCGCGATCCGGTCCAACTCAACCTTCTCTACGTTCAGGTAGGTATTTTCCCCCTCTTCTCCCTCCTTTCCGCCGGTTCGTACCCCGTTTCCATTGGAATTTCGTCACAGGCCCGGGACGCCATTCTGAACGAGACCCACCCGGTGACGGTGGACCAGGCCTGCCAGTTCGCCGGCATCCAGTGCCAGATCCAGTTCGGGGACCACGTCGAGTCCAAACACAAGCCCGGATTTCTAGAGTGAGTTTCTTCCTTGCCTATTCGGAGGGGTTGCGTCTGCGGGCCGAAGGGGGGGGTAAGGTAGAATCCGGAAATCGGGAGCGTGGAAATGGGTTTTCGCGGAGGAACAGGGCGGTTCCTCGAGGTACGGGTGAATTCTTCCGAAAGAGCTCTTCGCGTTCCTCCCGGTTAACCGGAAATTCTCCCTCCTCGTGGACGTGGAACCATCGGAGGGATCGAAGGTTAAAATTCTCTTTCGTTTCCGCAGTTTGAAAGAGTTTCTGCCCAAGAACTTCTGCAAAATGAAGGGGATCGAGAAGAAAGTGTTCTCGGTGAGTACCCGACCGGACGGGCCGGGCGTTTGGCCGTCTCCGGCCGAATATCGATTAATTTCGGGCGCTCTTCCTTTCAGGAACACAAGAACTACGCGGGCTTGGCCGAGTTGGACGCCAAAGTCAAGTACGTGTCTCTGGCCCGATCCCTCAAGACCTACGGAGTCACTTTCTTCCTGGTCAAGGTAGGACCCGGACTACGCTCTACCACCGGGGGTTCGTCCGCTCTTCCGCTCGAAAAACCTCCCGGGAAGAGGAAAACGGTCGCGTTTGGAAATTTCGGTCCCCGGAAGGAGGGAGACTTTACCTCTTTCCCCTTCCGGTCCGAAAAGGAAGAAGTTCCGTTAAAGACGGGGAAGAAATTCCCGGAACGGATCGCCCCTCGTCTCTAATCGATTATTCGACGTGTGGGAATTTTTACGGGGGGTTCGCGAAACGCCGTTTATTCGGAATTCGGAAGGACCGGACGGACCCGTCGAGCGTTGGTTTTTCCGCCGGCCAGAGCGAATTTCTTTAATTTCGGGCGGGTTAACCTTTTCAGGAGAAGATGAAGGGGAAGAACAAGTTGGTCCCCCGGTTGTTGGGCGTCACCAAAGACAGCGTCCTGCGCTTGGACGAGAGGACCAAAGAGGTAAGTGGATCCGGCGCGTTTTTTGGTCGGAAGAGTCGCCCGCTCCATCTCCCGCCTCCTCCTTTCAGATCATGAAGACCTGGCCTCTGACCACCGTCAGAAGATGGGCCGCTTCGCCCAACAGCTTCACTCTGGTGAGGATTCCACTTCTTTCCCCCTCTCGTTCGCCCTCCCGTTATTAATAAACTCGTTGTTTCTTCGCTAGGACTTCGGGGACTATTCGGACTCCTACTACTCGGTCCAGACGACGGAAGGGGAGCAAATCTCTCAACTCATCGCCGGTTACATCGACATCATTCTGAAAAAAGTAGGTCCACCCCCTAATTTTCTTTTAAGACCCGCGCGCCACCTTAGGATACAAACTGACGTCTCGCTCTTTCCGATCTAGAAAAAGGCCAAAGATCGCTTCGGGATCGAAGGAGACGAAGGATCCACCATGGTCGAAGACAGCGTCTCGCCCGCCAAGTACGTGTTTCCAAAGATTCCTTCTTCTCTCTCTTTCCTTTCCTCGCCTTCGCTTTCTCGCCGCGCTCGTTCGCGGGCTCGGACGCGTTATTAACGCGCCGCGCTGCGGAGCCCCTTCGCGCTCCTACCCGCCAGCAAAATTACGTAACGCGTACCGACCCCCTTAACTGTACTAGGGAATAACGGCCGGTGTTAATTGTTAGGGCTAACTCTTATTTCGGTTAATTCGATTCGTTACGTTACTCGGATATCGTGGAGTAACTAACGCGTATCTTTTAATTTGCGCCGTTTTTTCCCTTATTGTCGAGGAGTTTTGATGCTGGATGTTCCGTCTCGCGATTGGCGCTCGCCTCTGCCGTCACGTGCATTTTGGGATGCGTATCTTTTGGACGGACGTGGAAGAGTTGCCTCCCGATCGGATGCCTTTCGGAGCACCGGTAATGTTGAGGGAACGGAAAATAATGGCGATGAAAAAATGCAATGATGTAAGAATTTCGTTCCAAATAAAACTTAACTGTCTGCGTTTTCGATGTAGAACCCCGTGACGTCTTCTTCTCCGCCTAATTGTTACGTAGCGTGCCGAGTCCTTCTACCGTCGGGATCTCCAAACTTTTTCCACAGTCGACCCCTTCGACGATTCCTCTACTTTTTATTGGCCCTTTCTCTTTTTATTTATTTCTTTCTTGCTAATTAAACTCGTTGGGCCGTTATTAATCACGCGCCGTTTACGCAGAAAACATCTACTTACCGCGCGCAAATTTACGACGTTTCCAACTGTCGTATACGTAACCCATTGGACTGGCAATTTTTAATCCAACCGTTTCCGAAACATAAAAGCCACCCCCCGGGGGTCGACGTCGATGGCTTTGGGGATCCCCGTTCTTCGGAAACACGTTTCGACAGTGTCCATCCGTACGTAGAGGTGCCGAATCTGGCCACCGGAGACACAAGAAGCCTGAAACTCCGATTCCGTGTGGGATTGGCCCACCCGCCAGGTCTGTAACGCCCAAATAGGGTCCAGTTACCCTTAAAAAGACCTCCCGAAAGGCATTATTCCCCGCGTAAAGACCGTACGACTACTGTTACGTGACAATTACGTCACACTTTACCACGGGGGATATAGTCTAGAAGCTCGTGCCCAACTAGATACTACAAGACAATACAAGACTTGGCCTCGAAAACGAGGAATGCGGTTTTGACCAATAAATAACTACAGTGGTACCACGTACTTCGAACGCTAAATTCGACGAAAATTTCCCCGGGTTTCGAACGATGCTTCGGAGTTCGAATCGTAAACTCCAGAGTCATCCATACGCGTTACGAACCTCTCTTACTGTTTGTACGGCGTTTTATCCTTTCCGAAATTCGCAAAGAGTAGCTTTTTATCCGAAGACATTTCGACTCGATTTTATTAAAACAAAATATGGCCGAAATAAGCTTCTAAACAAAGAATACAATCTCTCGTTAGCGATGACGTGTTAAATTTCGCGACTGTTACGATTAAATCGCGCGACTATGCTAAGTAACGGGCGGCTGCTAAAAATATGCAAAAACGTTCCGCCACCAGTAAGTGCAATTTTCATTTTATTATACATTATTTATGTGTTTTATTTATCGTTTTCGTGTTTTAATTTGTTATTAGGGCACGTAATTGTGTTATTTTTACATTAAATAATGTGTATTGGCAGTTATAAGTCTATCGAAATGGGTGTCGTTCGGGATCGGCGAACGAATTAATTCGCTTTCCGTTATTTCTTATGGAAAAATTGCTTCGGAGTTCGAACGACCCTGGAATGAATTACGTTCGAATTACGAGGCACCGTCGTAGGCCTACGTAAAATTAGTTGCGTGGGACAGTGGGACGGGAGGAATTGTTAATATTCTTAAACTAATGGCCAGATTTGGAAGAGTCGTGCATATTTCTCGAGGAATCTGTTTCACTTTTTACACTAGAATCCTCTGTCACGTCATTTAATTCTTCTAATGCTATTATAATTTTGTCTAAATCAAATCTAACTGTCTTCGCAGTATTTGTTTGGCATTCCCAACGTGTATCTGATAATGGTTTTAGAGTTGAATTTGTTAAATGTTTCATTGAAATAGCCCACCCGTGAGCGGACGTGGAAAATAGTGTATACGGTCTCGAAAGTGTTCCAAAAAATGTCATAGCCGTAGGAACCGAGGAAGCCGCATCACCTTAAATTGTGTGCGGAACGTGACACAAAAAATGCTGCCGGATTTTTTTCCAAAATCCTCGCTTGCAGGCCTTTCCTCTTGCCTACCGTGTTAGCCCCATTGTCGTAAGCTTGTCCACGGCAATCGTTCGAAGAAATATTTAAAGTTTTAAGTTGTTACGTAATTCCTCTGATAAATCAAATCCTGTACTTTTCGGCAAAGCAGAAAAACCAATAAAATAATCATTAATTTTGACTTCATTTAGTTCTTGTTTGTCAGGTATTTCTACGATTCAAACAATGAGAGTCAATTGTTTGTTTCTTTATCTTTTATACGTCTTATAGCCTATGTTCTGCCATTCTTGCTTCGAATGTTGAAATTAATTCTATTTAGTACCATTAAGCAGCATAAATTTGTTTAATTGAAACATAAGCTTACAATATGCTCGAGTGTATAAATGTTCTATGCAGTGCTAACTACAATTACACTGACTTGGCACCTAGTTTTGTTGTAGGTTACATACCGCCAACTTACAATTTATATTATAAAAAGTGTTTTTTTCTTTATTATTATTTTGATTATTTTTAAGGTAATTATTCTTTTATAAAAAAAAATAACTACTAATAGAACACTAACAAACACAAATATATTTGAATTTATACATTAAACAGTTATTCTTTTCGTAGATCATAAAATCAATTAGTAGCAAAGTTGTATCGAGAAATCGAGATTCGTAAGATTTTTCCAGCGTACCTTACAATTATACTTTAAAATTAAGTTTTACGTTGAAGTACTAGTTGTTACATTTTAATTATAAAACATTATTGTGCTGTATCCTCTTAAGTGCGGGGCCCGGGGCAGTTGCCCCAGTTGCCCGGCCCTAGGGGCGGCTCTGGCTTTTTTGACCGACTCGTAACGGAGCTTAGTTTTGATTTTGCCGATTTCTTGTTCCTGAAAGCTTCTTTTGATTAATGGGTATTCCTTCTTTGTCTGACCGGCCATCTTTCTCGCCACTTCTGTTGAGGTTTGTTTGGCAATGCCAAAAGACCGGTTGATTGCTTAGACAACTATGGTTTTTGGTCGAGAAGCTTACTAAAGTACACTTTATATGCCTTACGACCACCAATTTTACATGTAGCAATAACCCGAGAATATGAATAATTTAAATTGCAATAACGACAAACAATAGCATTGTGATTAAATATGCTTGCTCTCTTGTTCCTTAGAAATATTTTGCTTTGAAACTGTGTTGTAACATGTTGCTGGAATGCCACCGTTTGTTTATTCGATCATTTGTTCAAAATGAATGGATTAAACATTTTGGATAAACCTTACTTCTTAGGTATTTTCATTGTGACCCTTTACGTGTCTGATAAATACATATGCAACCTTGGTTCTAATTGTAATACTGGCTAAATAATATTGACAGTGCGTGGTTTAGCATTGTTGCATGCAGAAACTGTTTTACATTATAAAGTGCAAAGTCACAAATGGCACAACAAAGGTTTTTTATTCTGAGAATCTCTGTGTGTTGTGTTTCGGGATGCAAATATACATTTTGTGTTTGGAATAATACAAATAAAACTAAGAGCCGTATCAAGAGATACGAATCTTGTTTTATTTGTTTGCTTTAAAGTGATTGTCGGTGATAGACTTAACAAGATTTAAAAAAGAATTGAGACCGACTGAGTCTATCGCCACATACCGAGGCTGTTTGCAGCACTTTGAAAGACACAACTGGCTTATTTCACAGAAATAAGTATGGCGATAAAAGTGGGACGAATTCTATGAATTAGATGATCATCCCTTGTATTTAATATAGATATTAAATTTCTTTCTTTTCTTCATTAATACAATAATATTTATTTTATATTAATATATTTTCATGTTCTATAGTGTATTTTAAAATATGCCATTAAGTTTGATGACAATTTTTCTTAACAGAGCTACCATTCTTCAAAATACGCCAGCTGCCAAACCGTCTCATCCAACTTCGGGGTCGATAGCTCTCCCGGCAGTCATGAGACCCGGAGCAAACGGTGCTATATATTAAGATGATGTTATTAATCGAGAAAAGCAGTTCGACCAATTAATTTATATTTTTATATCTTTTTCGTAGGAGCTCAACCTTATACGGCCGGTCAGATGCAAGGAGCTCAGTTTGGAGAAATAAAAGGTCAAGCTCATACAGCATATTCTCCCAAAACAGTAAGTTTGACATATAATTTTATTTTCTAGAATAAAAAGTAGCTTAAGGTAGAGAAAGTATATGTAAAGTTTGAAATTTTTCATGCTTTACTAGTTGATGAAATTTAGTAAGAAGGTGAGATTGATTTTAAGTAAATAAGTTTGCAATAAAATAAAATTATTAATTAAATATACTCTATTTAAAGCCTCAACATCCGAGAGTTCACAGTGCCATGTCGGAGCCTCAGAGAGCTCTGTTGAGTACGATCGGAGCCGGAAGAGAAGCGATAGATTCCGCTCAGAAAGAATTACAGTCTCGTATACAGTTACCCGACTTGGGTACGGATCCGGCATCCCTGCAGTGGAAACAGAATACGATGGACGTTAAGAAACAAAACGTATCCTCTCAAGTGGCAGCTATGAATGCTGCAACTGCTCAAGTCATCACTTTAACATCAGGTAAGATGTAATTTTTAGTTGTGAGATTTTTAGCATAGTTTTTAAAACAAAGAATCTTGTTATATGTATAAGAAGTTCAAACAAACATTCAAAATATTTTTGACAGAAATTTATTTTTTATACTGTTTAATACAAAAATTATAAAGTATATTTAATCAAGCTTTCTCAAAACATTTTCTATTATAATGCTAAACAATAGATTTATTGTTGATAATTAATCTGTAAATAATTAATATCTAATAGGTCCACCAGAAGAAGTCGATCATCCTGCTGTAGGAGCTGCAATATCAACAATGTAAGTTTTAAGAATTAATTCATTTATAAATCAACTTTTCAGTATGATATTAATGCAATAAATTTTGTCAAACAGAGCTACCAATTTGACAGAAATGTCTAAAGACGTTAAGATGATTGCGGCTCTAATGGATGATGATTTAACCGGAGACAAGTTGATTGATGCCACTCGTAATTTATGTTCGGCGTTTTCTGACCTGTTGAAGGCCGCCGAACCGGAAAGCAAAGAGGTATTTGAGTTAAATACTCTTAACACGAAATTGTAAAATGTTCGCTTTTGATAACCGTCGAAATGTCTTACAGCCGCGACAGAATCTGCTGAATGCCGCAAGTCGCGTCGGAGAAGCTAGTCATGCAGTATTATATACTATTGGTGAAGAAGATGGTATTGATAAAGAAGCACAGGTTATAGAGAGTTTTGTTTTTATCTTAATAAATAATTANTAACAGTTATTTCTTTTGTTCATTCTGTTAGTAGGAGCGATATTTGGTGATAAACTTTCCTTTAAGTATTTTATAGAAAAATTACTTAAACATCTCACTTATATATATAATTCTTATTCTTTGAAGTACGTGAATTCGGCACCACACTCAATTTAATATAGTCATGCAGTATTATATACTATTGGTGAAGAAGATGGTATTGATAAAGAAGCACAGGTTATAGAGAGTTTTGTTTTTATCTTAATAAATAATTAAATAGAGAAATAATTATATATTCACTTATTTTAGGATATCCTCTTGGGATTAGCAAAGAGAGTGGCAAATTCAACAGCAAATCTTGTATTGAAAGCCAAAAATGTAGCAAGTAAATGTGACGATCAAGCCATACAAAACAAAGTCATTAATGCCGCAACTCAGTGCGCATTGGCTACTTCGCAGCTTGTTGCTTGTGCAAAAGTAATTGTAAATTCTTGTTAAACATTATATTTAAAATTTTTAAATTAAAGGAATGTCAGTTAAAAGAATTTAAACTATAATCATTATTCTTATTTTATAAAACTTAATCTTTTATAAGTTGTACGTAAAGATAACACTTTTCTAGGTTGTTGCTCCCACAATCAACAATCCCAATTGTCGTCAACAACTAATTGAAGCAACAAAAGAAGTTGCCAAAGCTGTCGACGGTATTTTGAAAGCATGTCAGGTATTTTCAAAATTCACGTGTTGAAACTGTTTGTTTAATTTTGCATGAAGACAGTTTTATTTAAGCATATTTTATAATATCTAGGAAGCAACTGATGACGAAAAATTGTTGCTTACGACCACCAATTTTACATGTAGCAATAACCCGAGAATATGAATAATTTAAATTGCAATAACAACAAACAATAGCATTGTGATTAAATATGCTTGCTCTCTTGTTCCTTAGAAATATTTTGCTTTGAAACTGTGTTGTAACATGTTGCTGGAATGCCANAACAACTAATTGAAGCAACAAAAGAAGTTGCCAAAGCTGTCGACGGTATTTTGAAAGCATGTCAGGTATTTTCAAAATTCACGTGTTGAAACTGTTTGTTTAATTTTGCATGAAGACAGTTTTATTTAAGCATATTTTATAATATCTAGGAAGCAACTGACGACGAAAAATTGTTGAGAGATTCGGCAACAGCAGTTACACAAGTAAACGAAGCTTTGTCGGATCTTTTAAATCACGTTCGAACATTTCCAGAAAAGGGGGCCAGAACGTCGGCTCACGATGGCGCGGTGGACACAATTCTCGATGCCACGGACAGGTTGTTCAGTAGTACCGGCGATGCTACGGAGATGGTTCGTCAGGCTAAAATATTGGCAAAGGTAAAATTTAGGACAAAAATTGACTATGAAAACTGACATTTTATAAATTATGTTTTTATTAATATTTTTGTAAATTTATTTAATTCTAGGCAACATCTCATTTGATCGGATCTATCAAGGGTGAAGCCGAAACACAGCCGGATTCCGACGTCCAAAAAAGATTGCTGGCTGCTGCAAAATTATTAGCTGATGCTACTTCTAAAATGGTTGAAGCCGCTAAGGTATATTTTGTTAAGAGATCCAGTCGAAGCATAAATGTGTTTTGTAAATAAAATTTAATTACATAAATTAAAATATTACGGATTTTAATAAATGGACCCAATACCTATAATGAGATTGAAATGTAAAAATAACGTATAATAGCAGATATTGACAATTCTTAACATATCTGTTTATTTAGGGATGCGCCAGTAATCCACACGATTCTGAATCACAAGCGGCACTGCGTCGGGCGGCAGAAGAGCTGCGAAGTGCCACCAACGCAGCCGCCAGTAATGCCCTGAAGCGGAAACTTATACACAGACTCGAAGTAAGTGACTTAATACAAAATTTTATTTTAAGTAGCGTAATTGATGTTTAATATTTAATGAATATTGCAGAATGCTGCAAAACACGCTGCCGCAATGGCAACACAAAACATTGCAGCGGCTCAAGGTGTGCGTCCCCACAATAACAATCAAGTTACTCAAGGAGAATTAATGGATAGTTGTAGAGTAAGTTAAAGATATAATTTACACCTCATAAATATATAACTGAAAATTTTACAAATATATAATCTAAATATACTTAATTTTAAATAGGAAGTAGCTGAAGTTATTCCTCATGTGGTCCAAGGTGTTAAAGGTACTATGGCAGATATTGATAATCCCAATGCCCAGATGACTCTAATAAATGCTTGTGAACAAATGATTCAGGTTGGTGCAACTTTTATGTATTATATATATTACGTACGTTCACGTGGATGCCATCGTCGAGCAGTGCCGAAAGACATTTCAAATTAAGTGTCGCATTTGAATTAAGAAATGACAAAAAAATGGAACACCATGTTGAAAAAGTAAAGTTGCAAGCTCTAACATTCCAAGCTTTAATGCTTGTATTGTATACTTATATGTATTTATATATTGCACAATCAAACGTGCGAAGTAGCCCTTGTGGCGAGTTCCTGTTCTGGCAAATAATAAAGTTGTATGGACTAGTATATATTAACTTTGTCAGACGTTCACTCTATCCATACTCAATAAAAAGGAATTCTGACGGCAATTAAAAAATGGGGAAATAATTCTTAAGGGGTGCAAAAAAATAGGACTTGCATGTGGGCTTGAGATACTTTAGCAGCAGTGTTACATACTGTATATTATATATAGGTTATCATATTTGTTTTAAAAATGTTTTTAAATGAACTTTTATGGTTTTAAGTTAATAACTTTATCTTTTTTATAGAGATATTGCTACATTTAAATATATTTTAAAAGTTTCCATAAACTTTTAATGTGAAAACAAATTTAAAAATGTGTTGAATGTTTTGTCTGCAAAGAGTTTGATTTATACGACTCTTATTTACTGGCTTAATAATTAATTTTTTATTATAGCTTTTAAAATTAAAATTGATGATTTTGAACTTAGATTTTATGCTGCTTTGTGGAATACAACATGGCTCTGTTTCAAGCATCTTTTTTCGTGTCATGTACATTAATTCTACCTTAAATAACCTGCATTCTAAAGCCCTTGAATACACCAATGTTATTAGACAGATTCATAGCAACCCACGACTGTTACAAATTGATTTAACTATTCCTCATGTATACTAATATATAACGATTCTATTCTTCATGTAGGAAGAGCACATAGCAATGGTTTTATGTGTTTCCCAGTTTAAAATTAATAACAGTTATTTCTTTTGTTCATTCTGTTAGTAGGAGCGATATTTGATGATAAACTTTCCTTTAAGTATTTTATAGAAAAATTACTTAAACATCTCACTTATATATATAATTCTTATTCTTTGAAGTACGTGAATTCGGCACCACACTCAATTTAATACCGATTTCAGAGACGTACCGATTTCGGTGGCACTAAATTGAAGTTTGACAATGTACTACTAAATTTTTATAAAGATTCTTTAAATCGTGATTTCAAGTAGATATTTTAAAATAATTATAATTTCTTTTTGCAACAGCCCTGCAATAAAATGATTACTTCTTCAAAAGCTGCTCTCCCGACAGTTGCCGATCAATCGTCTTCTATGCAACTTAGTAACGCTCTCAGACAAATGGCAGCAGCTCTTGCAGAACTCAGATCTGCAATTATCAAGGTAATTAAAGTTATTAATTATAATAAATAATAATAATCATAAATATGTATAAATTTTTCTTAATCTTTGCGAAATGTTTCAATTTTTTAAATATTTATCTGAAAGAAAGAAAGATCGTTGCATAACCGAATAAGAAATGTATTAATTTGCAGGCACAAGAAGCATGCGGAACATTGGAAATTAACAGCGCATTGGAACAAATTCACGATTTAAACGAAGAATTATTAGCTATCAAGAAAGCCGCTTTGTCGTCAAACCTGAAACCGTTACCCGGCGAATCGGTAATTAAATCTAATTTGAAATATAAATGAAATATAATTTATTATTATTGTTATTTAAAATATTTTTCTGCATTTTTGTTTCGTTTCACATCATAAACTGTTAGAAGCTAGGCATTTTATTAGATATGCCTAGTTTCATTAGACATAGGCTGAAATAGACACCTGTTTTTCAATATTCACAAAAACCAAATTTACATTTCAAGAAGTGATCCCAAAAACTACACAGATTCTGAAACAAATGTCTATTATCAGATGTGCTAATGCTTCGAGAAATGGCTAGATGCTTCTTAAAATGGGAAATTTAGGCATACGGCTTATGACATACACATATTTGTATCATAATTATTCTGTAAGAAAATATAAATAGGTCCACTAGTGTACGATCGTACGAATAGCTAAAGTTTCTAGCAGTTTCCATTACTTTTTTAATGCTATCAACATTCCTCTTGATTGTTATTACAGTAGAAGAACTATATCTAAATTTCTACAGAGAATAGGATATAATTGCTTATCCTTAATTTGTCTAATTTGGATTTGTTAGTGTTTTGGTCACATTTTCACTAGTAATTTTATTTCCACCCTTATGATTTACTCATGGTTCTATTTTTATTATTTGTTTTAATACACAAATTTAATATTACATTTAAAATTTTTTTATAATGTGCTCAAGCACAGCATTATAAAAACGTACTGTTTTCAACTTCACAAATTAACAATGACTATTTATGCTTCTAACACAATAAAGTGCTATAAATTAAGACACTTGGCGGGTTTTCTCATCTTTATTTAGTTGATACGTGTTAAAATTTTCCGTGTACATGCAAAAATAAAAAATTTTATATAGGTGAAACTAAACGTAAAGTTAAAGTACGATTGAAAGAACATATAGCTGATTTGAAATATCGTAGACTAAATTCTGCTTTTCATGAACACTGCCTTTTAAATAATTGTAATATAGACAAAAATAATATAGATATTTTACACAGAGAAAAAGATACATATAAAAGAAAATTCAAAGAAAGTATAGAAATAATCAAAACTCAAAATAGTATAAATAAAAATCCTAGCATCTCTATAAACGAAAACTGGTTAAAACTTTTATATTAATTGTATTCACTAGATCTAAACTATTATTATTGTGAGCAATGTGCTAATTAATAATAATTATCGAACTGTTAAATAAATCAACAATAACAAGAACCTGTAATGTTGTAATGNCCAATCATTACTGATACCATATCAATCGCTGCAGGTAAAATAAGATCTTCAGCAATCGTGTGTGGTTTCTTGCATTTGGCAATACGGTGAGCGACCTTATAAGAGGCGAGCAGTGCTTTGGAGGAAATAGATGCTCTGGAAAACAAGGATGTCGACTGATGTTTCAGTTCTCGCAATTTTCTTGCAAAAAAATCTCGCGGTTTTCCTTGTAAATTACTGTGAACTGTTTCTAAATGACGTTTCAATTTATTAGGAAGCATACTTTCAGCTGCCAGCACCTTATGACAAACAACACATTGGGGTAGTTCCACATTTCCTTTGCTAACGTAAGTAAATCCAAAATCTAAATATTGGTCATCATATTTTCTGTATTTTTTTCGTTTTTCTACAGTTTCCTTTGTACTCTTTCCTGAGTCTTCAACACGTTTTCTATTTATTTGAATAAAGTTATCCATTTTACAATGCGCAATTTAAATAGAACACACTTGAAATCAAAACACTGATTCTTCAATGCTTGTAATCGACGAAAACAAAAGACTAAACGAAAGAGCGGGAAATTGGAGAAGCGGGGTGATGAGACGCATGCGCAGCGCACTCACTCATTACGTCGTGTGCAGGCGACCGGTGGGTATCGTCTCGCGACTCCCCAGGGCGTCGCGGCGCACAGTTTGGGAAGCCCTGGTATAAAGATTGTATATATGAAATATATACTCAAATGAGGCTTTGCAATTACTAGTAGTACTATGCAAGTATATGTTTTGGTAGCGGAAGTTTCAGTACTGAATTTTCCACAACCTTCGACATTATCGTCTTTATAAATTTTAAATAAACAAAATATTACATTGCTGTGTGCTAAGTGGAAGCTGCTAATAGTTTTTTTGCATTTTCTTAAATATTTTTCAAGGTGTCTTCACCTCATCATCAGGTCATTTCTTAAAATACTGTAATGGATTTGAACATAGAACATTTCTTACTGCATTGGATGTGGTCCTGCATGATCAGTTTGTATCATGAGTTATGGGTTGATCGAATCGCCTTCAAATTTGATCATTTTTGGGTCTGGATCTGGCCATGCAAGTGGTCCTGTTGATTTCAATTTAACTTTTTTGCATTATTTTTTCTATTAATCATTTTTAGGAGCCAAATCCAGGGATCTAAGCAGTTTTATTCTTGTTTTTTTGGTTCCAAACTGGTTCTCTACATGTGGCTGTTGTCAGTTCCTCCACCATTCTTACAGCACCATTAAAAACGTCAAATTGAAAACAGATAACAGAGGAAATGGCACAAGAAGGTCAAAACAACAAGGCCGGACCTTGTTTCACAGATGGAACTTGAAGGTGATGCAATCAACACGTGACTGGCAACACAATTGATCTTGTACGGTGATGTTTATTTATCAGTGTAAATTAAATAGAATCATTGAACCAATTTTCAGTTAGAATATCAGCAATTCGAATATTTTTCTATAATAAAACTATTATGCAAAATGCAAATGCTTTTTTAATGTTTAAATTTGATATTTTAATAATGTTATAGCTAAAGATTTAATTACTGCTACATTGGATGTGCTACTTGCTAGCGTGCAAACTTCAAAAGAGTGAACAAGTTTATACACACACAGAGTACCAATTACACTGGGCTACTAAATTTGCTTGTAATTCACTTATTACATTGAGCTAATTTAATAGCGAGAAAATTCATTGTAGTGGCTACAAAACTTACCAAATGTAATTGAACCTTGTAAGAATTACAGTCGACCCCCCCTATAACACTGTTGGTAATTCTGTTTTATATGAATTCCATGTTGTACAAGTCACTTAGATTTTACAAATACGTGAGCCGTTCACAGCCCGGCACACATATTTGTAAAATCTAAGTGACTCGTACAACATGAAATTCATATAAAACGGAATTATCAAGTGTTATAGGGGGGGCCAACTGTACTGATTAATGCTAGGAACAAGTTTCTATGAATATTAGGAATGTTAAATCGAAAAAAACTATAGAGTTAAACAATGTAGATATGTAGTTATAGAATTGTAATTAAAATTTTTATATAATTCCTTATCCAATTAATATATATATTTATTATAATAATTTTTTCTTTAGTTTTGAAATTTACTATAAACTTAATTTATAAATTGTAATGTATTTTAGATTGAAACATCATCATTACAATTAGGAGCCATTTCCAAAGTAGTTGGATCGGCGATGGCACAACTATTAACTGCTGCTTCACAGGTAATCGTATTCGTTTAAGACTTTATTTATTAATGTCGGGTGAGAGAATAGCAAAAGCTTGTTACGCCTCCCCTGCATGACGAGACAAACAAACAAATACAAAAACAACATACAAAATGAAACTCAATGCATTTTACAAAATAAGGCAGCAGGGTTCGTTAAGGTATTGTCATCTTTTATAGTTGAATATAATTATTCTCATATAAACGTAATGCCAAAATCTTATATGTATAAATCCAGTTATCCGATAGTTTTCTTAGTTAGAAATAGATGTGTCAATGAAGTGCTTTTATGCATTTTATTAACCAGAATCATATATAACCTGTCGTAATGAATTACTGCTCCAGACAGTATGATCAATGACAGAACTAGTCTATCCTCGATATAACATATAAGGTTGGATTGCTGAGTTATGATTTGGTCTTATTTTATTAAAAAAAAATTAATCACTGGATATAAGCAGCTTTTTAAGTATTTATGCTTGGTACAAGCTTAAACTGATATCAAAGAATGTTATTTCCTATAATTGTACATACATCTGTTCTACAACTTGCAAATTCCATGCTCTAAAGCAGTGATGAGCAACCTTTTCTTCAGTGTGGGCCGTAAGGGAACTCTGTAGGCTTCTGGTGGACCACGTGTATTTTTTTCTTAAGGCTTTGAGCTTGACAAGTACTAACGCATTCCATAACTGCCAATTTGCTAGTTACTAAACTCTTTACTGTATTCTGATTTAAAAAAGTAAAATTTGAATGCACATATTACAGTGCAAAATTAGTTGCTGCTAATAATAATCATACGTTTAATTAAACAATAACATTTTTATTCAAGAGTTGGCTAAATTGAGGTTACCTATAGTTTACCAAAAGGCCCTTTGGAGAATTCGTTAACCTACGAGAGATTGCAACTTCACATGTAAGACTCAGAACAATTTTTGGGAGGAACAAAAGTTGTATCTTATGCCATAAAATACTGTAATTATTTACATCGAACTTCAGTAATGCTTACTATATGCTAATATATTCATAGTTAATAATTCATAAGTTTGTGTATAAATATAAAACCAAAATCATATGAGATCTTCATCGGATCGTGTCCAGAACTCTCCAACCTGACGATCTCGTATGCAGATCAAAAACATTAGTCGTAAATAAATGCTTACTGGAAGTAATTTGAGGTTTCTCTATGGTTATTTCTATTTTAAAATCAAAGTTTTTTATACATTTGTTAATAAAAATTATTGAATTTTAAATAATTTTTGTTTTATAATCACTAAATTATTTCAATGTTTTATGTAGGCCAATGAAAATTATACGGGAATTGCAGCTAGAGATACGGCAAATGCATTGAAAATCTTGACGAGTGCTGTGAGAGGCGTGGCCGCCACCTGTAGCGACTTGCCCACTCAGACGAGAATAATCGACAGCGCCCGAGAAGTCATGGATAAGTCTGCCCATCTGGTCGAAGAAGCTCGTAGGGCCGTACACAATCCCACCGACGTGAGCAATCAGCAGAGACTCGCGCAGGTATCGTCGTCGTTCAGTATCCGATTGTAATTTTGAATGTGCTATTATTTAATTATTCGTTTATTTAATGTGTTCATTTTTTCACAGGTGGCAAAGTTAGTTTCAAATGCACTAAACAATTGCGTAAATTGTTTACCAGGTCAGAAAGACGTAGACGATGCAATTAAAAGTATCACTGAAGCTAGTCATGCACTAAATGCACAGCAGGTACTTTAAAAAAATCTTAATTAAAAATCACACACACACACACGTGGATGTAAATAAAAATAATTATATATATATTATGTTTTTTTTTCTTCCAGTTTCCATTATCAAATAAAACTTACAGTGAACTTCAAAATAATTTAACCAGTGCTGCGGCAAATTTGAACGAAGCTGCTAGTAACGTAGTTGTTTCGTCCAAAGACACTCCGGCTAATTTATCTAATAGCGCAAAAAAATTTGGTACTGCGTTTGAAGATCTTTTGGGATGTGGCATGGAAATTATCGGTCAGACAAAGGTAATGTGTTTTAAATGTATTTAACAGTGATTTTTATTGCTTATTTTTTTTAATTTTATACTATACCTTTTTTTAATGTAATTGATTTGAAATTTATACGTTAAAAGTTGTTAAGAAACATTGATTCCACTTAATGTGTCACCATTATCTAAATACAGTGGGTGATCAGTTAACGATCAGTTCGGACTATGAACAAATTTGATAACAAACACATTTGCAAAAGAAACACATGGTCAAGTAACGAACACCTCACAGAACAAACACAAGAAGAAGCGACTTAAAATAATGAATACCAAATGGTCTTCCCTTGCCTTCAGGCAATAATTCAAAACTTTTCGGAGGGTGGGAGACATCGACATCGACACTCAACCCGGTATATACTGATCAAATAATATTCCTCAGAAGTTTGAAACCTTCCCTTGTAATTCCAGCCTTTTATTTTTCTGATAGAAAGAAATTTTTATAGTATTCGCGAGACTGTCGTGCAAGCATTCGTTAAGTTTTGCCTCGTTTTTGTTTTCGAAAGGTGAGAGTATAATAGCAAAGGCAGGCAAAAGATGTCTGATGTTGCTGGGCAGTACAACTCGAACGGGTCTACAGTAGGCCCCAGTTCAATCTTATCTAAGAAAGATACAGTATAATCAAGAAGACTCCAGTTAAAGGAGTAACAAAAATTACATCTGAGAAATAAAGAACATTGAAGAGCTCATAATAGAATCTGAAACTGATCTGATGACAGAAGAACACCAAGAAACTTGGCAAGATATGTTTTCTAAAATAGAGGATTAATGCTGACATCTGCTATTAAAGATCTTTTGAAGAAGTGGGAGGATGTCAGAACAACGGTCTTAGAATGGCATCCAAACCAGGTTGAGGTTAATAGGCTTTTGGATCTCTAGAACAACAATGCTATTAATTACTTCCGAAAAATCCTGAAGAAGAGAGGAAAGCAATCGACATTGGACAGATTCTTTAATCCCCCACAAACAGAAAAAACATGACTGATAAGAATGCAAGATTGTGTATATATGTATTTTTATTATTACATATAAATAAACGTAGTAAGAAAGTATATAATTTTTTATTTTTGGGGGTCTCCAGAACGGATTAATGAAATTCCCATAAAAATCTATGGTAAATCGATAATTGGTTAATGACAATTCGGATAGCAAACACAGTCTTGGAATGGATTATGTTCGTTAACCGATCACCCACTGTATATAAGATTTTTATTTGTAAATCATATTTACACAAGTTTTTCAAATATTTCTGACCTATTCGCTGAGACAGAATTAAAAATAGCACTAAATTTACATGTTTAGAAAATCTATGATTATGTGGAGTGAATTTGTTTATTTTTTATATTTCTTTTGATGGAAAATTCATGTTTTAATTTAATTACTTATATAAACTAATATTTGCTAAATAAAGAATTTATTTAATATATTTTTTAAGCTAATTTTATTTAGTTCTAGCTATTTAAAGCCCTGTAGATTCATCTTTATAGATGAATTTGATCAGAGAATGTAAGATATACACATTAGATGATTCCTTAAATTTTGGCATTATTTAAAATTGATCTTGTATCTGAATTATAAACATGACAATTTCATCAAGTTACACATAAAATAATATCCAAATCAATCAAATTATCTTAAAGCACAATCAGTTTGAATGGTAGAAACACGGCATTTCCCCCCTTAGTTTCGTGGATTAATTTTGACAAAACAAACTTGAGTACAGTGTACTATAGACAATGGTAATAGAAAGCACATGGGAAAAAGTTACTTATTATGTTAAATCGGCATATTTCATGTGCTCCCAATGTGACATACATGATATTTAATCTACTTGATTTTGGCCCATATCTGGGTTGGCATGTTAGGAGTCGCACTGTTAATGGCTTCCACAATTGTTTGTACAGGGCTCTTGTGTCTGGTACTTTTATAGCATATATTTAATCCTTGACATTCCTAGGACTGATGTCAGATGATTGGAAGGACCAAGAAATAGGGCTGTGTCAACCAATCAAATGGTCTAGACCAGTGATTTCCTTTTCTTGAGCCACCGCCCCTTTGGTTCCATAAACTTATATCCAATACCACTAACCCATTTTCTTTTGTGTGAGAAAGGGTTAGTAGTATTGGATATATTCTTAAGAAATATTCGTAGAGAAACTTTTCTACCAATCTCACACTTTGTGTCCTTACTGTACATAGTTTTTCATATATGAAAGTCATTAAACAAAATATTTCTTTTTACTCATTTTAACGGAAGAAAGGAAAAGGTTGTCAGTAATCCCAATCCTCGCCTACAGTTACCATTCAGTACCCTGCCACCAGCACCTCCTTCCGCCCACTTGCTTCTTTTTACCCCCCTAGGGTTACTCACTGCCCATAGAGGAACATAGTGCCCACTTTGAGAACCCCTGGTCTAGACTATTGACAGAAAAGTGTGACAGCAAAGATCCAGATTGTTACCATGTGGCATCGACAGCCCTTTAAGTATATGTACACGAATCTCGGAATATCGACCAACATTCTATGACACATTTTATTCACATACCCAAGTAAACGGATTTTACAGAACAGTTTAAAACTACAGAGTTTCAAGGAGAACACCCTGTATTATTATTTTTTATTATTATTTATAATATATACGTTTGAAGAAAACTTCAAAATTTTTCAAATATAGTCATCATTCAACAAAATTACAAAACATCATTATAACTATCATAATTTCCTGTCTGTAATTCGCAGATTACGTGCTAAAAAATCTTCCGGCTTTGGCAGTATGAATTATAGGTCATTGTAGAATAATGTGTGACAAATTTCTATAATATGAAAACGTGTCTAAACCATTTTACTTTTCGATATGTTAAGAAATTGTCTAACACGATAGAATGTGATAAACGACAATGACAAAATGAAAAAAAATAGATGCAATCGATAAACTGTGCCAATAAAATTTGAATTCGAACACCAGTTGCCAAAGAAAGGCAGGTTCCGTCAATAAAATGTGGTTTGTGTATGGCTAGTGATGTACAGACATAAGATGTTATAACTTATTGTTAGATTTTATTAATTTCAAAACCTGATTTGTGTAGATTATACTTAATGATTTCATATTTAAAGTTTTAAGTATTTAAATATGAAATGTTATTTTATTTAATTTATGAAAGAGATACCAAATAAAATGAAAGAACATGTAATATAATGTTATAATATGATTTCCAATGTTGATTGTTCTTGACCCACGAAAGTTGTGTGTTTGTCTTGCCCATCCGTTTCTCTCTTTTACACTCTTCAAACAGAATGCCTCAAATAGACTCTTAGGGTGTGACTATGCAGACGCGAAGTTAGAGCGAGTGAGAGGTTGCGAGCGATTTAGTTTTCGCAAAGGAAAGCCATGAACAAACGAGAAGCGAGAAATAACGCTGGCGAGAGCGAATTTCTGGTTCTTGCACATATCTGACAAGTTTTGATATTTATCGTGTCTCGCCTCTTCACGCCACATATTCTCACTCGCTCGTGTCTGCATAGTCGCACCCTTAGTTTTAATAGTTTTATGAAATTGTAATGTATTTAAAAAACAAGTGAATATTTTTCTGTCTTTCCATAAATCCAAATCTTAATGCTTAAATTCTGTATTATTATCTTACGAATGTATTCTTACATTTTCCTGTGATTTTTTTTTTTTCATTGTTATCAGAAAATATTTTCTATAAACGTGTTTGGTAAATTATAAGTTTTAACCTGTTAATTTTAGGATACGGAAGTAAGAGGTCAAATGGTGGTCAGTTTGAAAAACGTGTCGATGGTGTCCAGCAAGTTGTTGGTGACGGCCAAATCTGTTGCAGCAGATCCGACCGCTCCCAATTCCAAAACTCAGTTGGCATCCGCAGCCAGGTAATATAAAATTTTTTTGCTGATATAAATATTTCCTTAAAACGCAATCATTTAAGATGAAATGATATTATTGTATGCATATCTTTGGAATAATTTCATTGTTGAATAATAGTGAAAGTAAGATTTATTAAAGTAAACTATAAAGGCATCATTATAATACTTGGTATTCGGGTTGTTCGCATAAGTGACGTTAAAACGTTAAACTGCTTAAAACGAATTATCTTTAAAAACATTTGAATGTATAAAATAAACAAGCAAATATTTATTGTAACGTCATGACAATGCCAGGCTGCAATTTTTAATTTATTTAATTTAAAATCTATGCTCTCCACCTCAAATTAGTACGGTAGTGTCTTGCCATGTACATCATACTTTTCCGTTAGCAGAGGAGTCGTGCTGGTCATCTATCTAACTCCTTTTGGGGAAAAATTTTTGAATTGAAATAACATGACTTCCAGTTTACATTGGAAGTTTGTATATAGTTAATTGAAGCCTCCTGCCGTAAGCTTTCCACATATGGTTTTGGCTTTCATCTATCAGGTCAGTCCATAAGTTTGTGCGCATTTTTATCTACAAAAAAAGCAACAAAAATTTTTAATTAAATCTTATTTCAATCTATAATGTATTCACAATTATTTTGTACAATTTCTTGCCATCTTGATGGTAGCTTTTTAATCCCGTCTTCGTAAAATGATTTCGGTTTTGAATCAAAATATTCAGAAATAGCCTTTTTTACATTGTTCTCATCCTCAAAAGTTTTCACTTTTAAAAAATTCTGCAAACTGCGAAAAAGATGATAATCACTGGGAGCAATATCTGGCAAATATGGTGGATGAGGTAAAATTTCCCAGTTGAAGCTTTGGAGTTGAGCAGTTGACGTTGTTGTCAGTTAGCTATTGACAGTTCATGTGGTATCCATTTTCCTAGCTTTGAAACTTTTCCGATTTGTTGTAGATGTCTATGAACAGTTCCATGGGATGAATTTAAACGTTCCGCAATTTCATCAACTGTTAAAGATGGTTCTGCTTCAACTAGTGCAGAGAGAGCATCATCATCAAAGTCAACGGGTCTTCCAGTACGAGCCTTATCCTCCACACTAAAATCATTATTTCTAAATCTTTCAAACCACTTCTGCGCAGTCCTTACACTAATTACAGTTTGATTATGAACAGTATTTAATTTTTTGGCTGCATTTGTAGCATTCTCATCACTTAAAAATAAAAAGTATAAAACATGTCTCTTATATTCATCTGTTACTTCCATTTTAACGAAAATAAACAACTGAAATGTTCCCAATTCTGAACAGTATTATATGAATGAGATCCAATTTAACACTTCAGTGTAAAAAGTATCACATTAGACTGGCATTTTTAACAGCAAAACAAGATTTTTCTCAAGGTCATAAAATACGCATGAACTTATGGACTGACCTGATATATAACTCTGTTTGCGAGATTAAGGAAGGACAGATGGACAGACGACAGTGGGAATTTATAGGTCTACAATTTTTTCAAATTGCAGCCCAATAAATTAGGAATGCAATATTTCATATTTGCTCGAAAGATTAATTTTAATATTATTGATTTTAAAAAATATAAAACTTTACATATTTGACAATTTTAATATTCCTCATGATGATAACCTCTCATTTTTCAGTTTAGTTTCAGTTATTCGACAAATACTGATTGCTATATATTGAGACAAGCAGTTTTGATAAAGTCTTTTGTTATTCTTTACAGTTATTTTACATTCCATTACTGATTCTTCTAATACATTTTTGTTAAATTTTATATCAAATATGCATAAACACGTAGCAATAGTAGGGGCTTTGTTCTCGATCATTTTCGGCAGCCCGACCCCGCTATTTTGTGTCACCTCACAACGCTTTTCCTGTCTTCATTGCAATTTATAATTTTGTATGTAAGCAATATTTCTTTTATATGTATTGATTATGTTGAGATTTTAGATTTGTTTGATAACGTTCTTGACATCATCTTTTAATTGTACCATTTCGTATTGCTTTAAGAAGTCTGCTTCTATTCAAACATTTCATGCTGTTGAGTGATCGAGTGAAAAAGTTTGTAGTATAGTACATGTGTAAGAATAATATCTTACACGTGTATGGTTTACAGTGTTGCGTAATATTGTCAAAAATTAATGCATTTGAACATGGAAATTTTAAATGAGGGTTTGATTAATCTACGTATAGCATGTTTTCTCAAATCTAATGCATGCCCGATTTTTGAGAAGTCAAAACCCAAAAAATGTTAGCTTTTAAAAATATTTTTTCACAGAATTTATAATAGTATGTAGCCTATGAGATCCAGATATTTTTATTTCATTTTTTAGATATTTTGTTTCAATTAGTGTTGGAAACACCAAAACTTACACTGCACTATTGCGCATATCCTGTCTTAGTCAAGTTTAAATTACTAGTTGGCATTTGCGATTATTTTGTACCATACATTAAATTAATTTAATCTCCGAAATACCAAAAAGAAACCGTGTGTTTACTGATGAATTAAAAAAAGATTATCTGTTTTTGATAAAAGTTTATGATCATATTGACAAAGTGAAATGTAAACTATGCTTTTCAGAATTTTCAGTAACTTACTGTGGACATTCAGACATTAAAAATCATTTGAAATGTGCAAAACATAAGGCAAGCCTAGTAGCAGCGGAAGGAACTTCCTCAAATATATTGTCATATTTTAAAGGTAGCGATTTAAGTGATAAAGCATTTTTAATAGCAGCTAAAGAAGCAACTTTTGCATTTCACGTTTTTATTCACAATCTCGGCTTTAAGTTAGCCGATTGTTCGTCTAAATTGATTTCAAAGCTCTTTGAAACAAAGTTTAGTCCAGCCAGAACAAAATGTAAAGCTTTCATTGTTAATGTCACTGAACCACTGTTGTTTCAGCAGCTTTGCGAAGATTTAAAGAAAACAAATTTTGTGAAGGTATCGGTAGATTCTTCCAACAGGAAAGAAATTAAAACTGCACCAATTGTTGTGCGGTATTTTGTACCAGATTGTGTCATAAAAGTTAAACTTTTAGACTTTCAATCAGTTTCCAGTGAAACTGCAGAAATACTGACAAACCATTTAATGTCAGTTACAAAATCTAGTAATATAGCAAAAAAAAAATTATTGGATTTTGTAGAGATAATTGCAATAATAATTTTGGGTTGTTAAACGTAGAGGAGAAAACAATATTTACAGTAGATTGAAGAAGGAACTAAGAAGAAATATTGCTGGCTTTGGTTGCAATGCTCACATTGCACACAGCTGCCTTCAAAGTGCAGTTGATGTTTTACTTATTTAAATAGAAGTTTTAGTGGTCAAAGTTTATAAATATCTCCACATTTATATGGTTTGAGTCACTTAACTAAAAGAGTTTTGTGAATTTATAGATGTAGAGTATAAAAAGGTTCTTCAATGTGGCAACATCAGTTTTCTTTTGCTACTTCCAGCTATTGGCAGAATACTTGAAATCTATGAAGGACCGAAATTTTATTTTATTCCACAAGAACACCTTCTAGTGATGATAATGATCGTGGTGAAATGTATTTGTGGTTTGTGCAAGGACAACTTAAATTGTTTAACAAAGCTATGTTGATTATGGAAAGTACAAAAGCGAGTGCAACCGATATTGTCAGTGAACTTGGAAAATTAAAAATAAACCTTGAGGGAAGGCATGATAATAAATTTATGCCTCAGGAAGCAAAAGAACATTTTAGAATATTAGAAAATAATGGAAGTATTAATATCAATACAATCCTACAAGAGTTTACAGCATTTTAGGACAGATGTCTTTCTTACATTGAGCTACAAGAAAACAGTTTTGGTGGAGCAGAATCTTTTACTTGGATAAACGACAATTAATTAACATGGTCTGATATTGAAGCTTCGGGTGAAAAAAGTAATGAAACTGATGCAAATAATACAATAAACATGGATCAACTGTTTGGTGAAGTGGTGCAAAAGCTTTTTGGTCAGCTAACTATGAAATTTGGAAAAATACAAGTCATGAAGAAAAATGGACACAACTTTTCAGTCATTTCAAAGAAAAGAACATTTCATTGCCTAATCTTGTTCAAATTACAGAATACATTTTCAACATGCTGGGCACATCTGCACCAGTCAAAAGAATATTCTCAATAGTGAATATCATATGGTCCAAAGAAAGAGGTAGAATTGCCAAAACAACTTATTTATTTAGCCTTTTCAATCGTAGTAGGCTTTTTCTGTCGTGAGTATTTTCTCAAAATTGTCTCAGTTTGAGAAAAAAATATTACGGTAAGCCTATGTATAGTATCACACTGAAGTATCTGTATACATGTTCTTCAGCATGGTGGATAACTCTCTGCCATACATCGTTTTCTTGGCTTGCCATAGTTCAAAATACCACCAAACCGTTCCAAAATTAAAACCGAAGTGGCAAGAAGAAGAACACTTATCGTGTCTGTACCGACATCGTATTACATGAAAATTGTCAATCAGAGCGAGGAGCAAACGACAAGAACGAGGCTGTGTTGAGTAGATGTTGTGTTCAATTACAATGCGTACTCCAATTTTTGAGACCAGAAAAATCAAAAAAAGGGCTTGCTTTGGATTTGGGAAACCTTGTTTTATTTTTCTTTTCAATTTATTTTTTTGCTTTTTTTAAATAATTATAATATTTTAAAAGTGAATTATTTATGAAAGAATGTTATAATTTTGTGCACTTTTATTACAGAGCGGTTACCGAAAGCATCAATCACTTGGTGAACGTGTGTACGTCCGCCGCTCCGGGTCAAAAAGAGTGCGACAATGCAATCAGAAATATTCAGGTGTGTGTTTCTTAATTATTTTCTTTTTGTTTGACTATTTTTTTGCAGAATTAAAATTTTTTACTTTACTATTAATTAGATGATGAGACCTTTACTGGATAATCCTAGCGAAGCTGTCAATGATGCAACTTATTTCGAATGTTTGGATAATGTTATGGAAAAATCTAAGGTAAAATATTTTTACGTATACTAATTACAGTAGACTGCTTAGTGTAACACAGATATTTTATTAATTGTTTAATATTGTCGGAATTAGAACAGTCCAAAACGTGTTAATAATAACAATAATAATTAGTATTATTATTACTATGTAATACCTGAACCTAGTCCAGCATAGTACTAAGCATCAGTATCAACTAGGATTATGTGTTACTTGGTTGTAAATTGTACACAATCCACCAATAATATAATAATTATAATGAATAAATCTTTAATTTATACATTTTTTAAAATTGTTTAAGGCGTTAATGTCAGCGTCAATAAAACCAGAATTTCTACTAATTGTAATCATATTTACTTACTTAATAATAACAGCTAATAATATTAAGCAATTATAACAAGTCCTGAAAAGATTACAATAAGGAGATTGTATTGTATTTCTGTTCATAAATGTACCGGTACATTTATGAAATAAGCAGTTTCTTCTTTTAATATTTCAAAATATGAAATGCTATAAAAAATTTCTTTTACAGTTAATTAAGTTGTTAATTACCCATTTTTTCCTATATACAGAATTTATTATTAATTCTATATTATTGGATTTTTAAAATATTAAATTTTAATAATAGAGTTTAGGTGACGGAATGACTGGAATTGCCAATCATGCCAAGCAAGGAGCCCGTGAAAAATTTGGCGAAGCGGTGAAAGACGTTTCGGATGCCATTTGTGGTTTGATCGAATCTGCCGCACAGGTAATTCTTCATTGCACGGAAACAATAGTAAAACTTAATTACTTTTAAATTTATCGAAATAAATTAATTAAATTTCAGGCCGCTTATCTGGTCGGAGTTTCCGATCCGTCCAGCGTGACCGGCAGACCCGGTCTGGTCGATCCCGTTCATTTTGCCAGAGCCAGCCAGGCCATTCAGATGGCTTGTCAGCAACTAATTAATCCGACGAGCAATCAACAGCAGGTTTGTATTTTTAAAATAACTTATAAAAATAAATACCGTGATGTTTATATAAATTACATTCTTAATAAAAATCTTTATAGATTCTTTCTGCTGCCACCGTGATTGCTAAACATACTTCGTCTTTATGTAATTCCTGTCGGTTGGCATCCTCCAAAACTACTAATCCTGTTGCCAAACGTCAGTTCGTTCAGTCTGCTAAGGACGTTGCTAATGCAACTGCAAACCTTGTTAAAGAGATCAAAGTAAGTTTCAGTTAAGTTATTTCAACAAATAATAAATTACTCTAAAATATATCACAATTATTATTATTAATTATTATTATTATTATGGTGTGTTGATGCTATTTGGCTTATGTACCAAAGCCTAATCCTATGCTGGATCAATGTCAAGGCATAGCTATTGAAAAAATTGGCTACAGAAAAAATTGTACAGATTAACATTACAGTTTTTAAATATGGCCGTGACCGAAACTGTAAGGGTAGGAGAGTGATCTTGAGCACACATGCCATTAAATTCTAATCATTTAGTAACAATTAAAATTAGTGTAAAATAATAATGCATTTTGTTGTATGAGGACCTACACGAATTAAGTAAATTTTATACAGAGTTAAAGTTATTGCTTGATGTAGCATAGCAACTTTTGGAATGATTAGTCCATATGTCTTTGAAAACAAAGAAGGCAGGACTGTGACAGTAAATTCAGCTCGTTGCATTAAAATGCTTCACAGTTTTCTTGAACTGAAATTGTGCCAGTGTGTTGTCGAATACCAAATTCTGTGGTTTCGACGGGATGGATGACAGTTCATACTGGAACAGTTCGACACAAGACCCTAATCAGATGTACCCAAGTTGAGTAATCAATTTGAATGACTTCCGAGATCTGCAAATTCTTTATCTGTGGATAACTTGAGTAAGGTGTGTGAGAATCAATCAAGGACTGTGGCAGAGTTGAAGCAGAAGAATGCAAATGAAGCAGCAATTTGCTGTAAGATGTTGCAGAAAGTCATACAAAGTTTTAGGGAACAATTGCAAGAATGTATAGATGATAATAGAGTCGGTTGCCTTGTGGACACAATATTCAAAAAGTGATTATTTACGAATCCTACGTTAAATGCTTTAAAAAGTTGTACTTCATTCTAGCACTTGTTAGGGTCAAGACAAGCTTGCTGTACATCATTTTACAAAAACTGGTTATCTATGGGCAGCTCCATTTTGGGCAATTCATGTGATTTTTCTGGGCTGGCCGAAGTATACCACCAGCTTTCTTAACCCTAAATGCTTGGAGATTAAGTGCAAAATGAGGATAAATTAATTTATCATAATTATATAACTTGTATGTTTTTCTCAACAGATTTTAGACCAGGAACCGACCGAAATTCACAGACAAAATACTGCCTATGCAACTGCACCATTAATTGAAGCGGTGGAAAATTTAACCACATTTGCTAGTTCCCCCGAGTTTGCTTCTGCGCCAGCAAAAATTAGCTCAAAGGTATTTAAATTTATTCTAATAATTAATTTAAATATACTTTTGACTTATTCTATTGGATTTATAAATTTAAAAAGCATTTAATTATAATTGAAATTTGTAAACTTTTATATTTCATTTTGTTTGCTTTCATAAGAATATAGCAATAAATTTTTCAACGGATTATCAATCGATGCTTAGTGTATTTTATAATGTACCATGTATATAAAATTAAGATTTTATCATTTATGAGATTTACGATATACATTTTCAAATAGAGTAAGTCGTCTAACTGACACTAGAAATTCAAATGATTATTTAAATTTAAAAATTGAATCTGTTCATTAGATATTCCTTATTCCGTTGTTATTAATAGGTAATTATGTATTTTATAATTGTTTTATTGGCACGCATTTGGTCTAAGTCGCACAATTGAAAATATTTGATTATTGAAGAACAATTCCAATCATATAACGTTCCCAAATTTATCACTCCATTCGTGACATTGATGCTTTATAATGAAAACTAATGTATTATTGTTAACTAAATAACTATTACTAGTTTCCATATGGCAGTAGTTACTCGGTTAATTTAACAATTTGGTTAATTATTGCCGAATACATCAATTATAATAAGCATATTCTATGATAATTTTCCAAAATTTAAGCATTTGTGTGAACGATTTAAATTTTTATATTGCCATTACATAAGATAAACGACTAAATAATTTTAAAAGTATGACCACAATTTAATTACAAAATTAAAAAAGTTTCGATTGGCTTAAGCATTTAATTAAAATTTTTGAATTTTTATTATTAATACTCTTCTATGTCTTTGATTATTTGTTGTCTATTTTTCTTTATGGCGGATAAATATTGCTAAGTTCTCAAATTTATCTCATATAAAATAATTTTAATATAATAATACAAATTATAATCAAAAAGTAACTAAACTTTATTTATAAAATAAATGTACACAAGTCGTACAGAATTTATCTCTGCATTTTGCATAGTTTTTCAAACATTTAAAAAACTGCTGGAAAGCAGATTCAGAATCAACAGAAAACCGAGAAATTTGCTGTTGTAATTGAAAATTGTAGTTGTCTCCGCTAGAAATTATTGATGAAAAAGTTTATTTATATCGTAACTTTTATCCCCTAGAACTAATATATGCTTGATATTTTATTTGGCATCTTAAATATAGTTTGGTTACTCTTTGATTCTCTCTCCGCTCTTTTTAATTTAATAAATAATCGAGCGATATTTCTTTATTTTGAAATTTGCCATTCTGATATTTGATCTTTAATTTTGTTTGGTTGCTTTATGCTCACTTTATTATTGCATACATTCCTAAAAGCTTATTACTTGTACTAACACTTGAATCACAACTTTTCATACTTACGTTGTGGAATAAGATTTCCAAAGGTAGGTGTACCTTACATTTTAAGTTGCAAAATGTATTTTGTTTTCTAAATTTTCATTTCAGTGCATCGTATTAATAATATAGTCATTTGAATATTTAAGTAGAGTTTTATTTGTATTCTTTACCAAAAATATTTCATCGAAAACAGCTTGATTAATTTGGATCTGCCAAAGTGTTATCAAATTTATAATTTTCTCTGGAATGATTGTTTGGTTATAACAAGTATTTTTGCTATATATGCATGGATTACTGTTTTTATAAAACTATTTTGTATCTTAATCTTTCCCGAAACTAAAGTTTTTATATTACATGCAAGGCAAGGGCGTCTCAGGAACCCATCACTTCTGCCGGCAAGTCAATCATTGATGGATCCTGCAACATGATTCAGGCCGCAAAATCTTTGGCCGTCAATCCCAAGGATCCTCCCGCTTGGCAAACTCTTGCAAATCATAGCAGAAGCGTGTCCGATGCCATCAAGACGTTGGTGTCTTCGATAAGGTAATTATTTACGATTAAACCGCGTTTCCGCTAATTCGCATATTTGACCGATGTTCAAATTTAAAACTTAATTTGAATTTTTAGAGACAAAGCTCCGGGACAAAAGGAATGCGAACAGGCCATCGAAAGACTGAGTGCTTGCATAAGAGAACTGGATAGAGCTTCCGTCAGTATCATCAGTCAGAGTCTTCAACCTCGTACTGATAATACGCTGAAAGTAAGTAAAGTAAAAAAGAAGTCGATTGCTTAATTTAACTTTTATTGCATTAGATAATTACACTAGCACAGAAAATTTATCAAAAACGTTTTTGTTCATTAAAGGTTGTTGCTGGAGTATATTTTAAGATTTGAAATTTATCATCATTATTAATGTAAAGCCAATCAGTTATAAAAATCTGTAGTACTGTCACACAAATTACACTTATAAATTTTACTTGTGTTTGACAACTTGGACATTTGCTTTCTGATAAATACAGTTTATTACCATTAGTTCCAGCTTCACTTAAGTGCACAGCATTCCAAGCTCTAATTTTTCACTTTTAATAATCAAAACTGTGCTTTGATAGACTTATTCATCTGGCATTGTGATTTTTTTCTTCAAAACTACCAATGTATGTATGCCTCAACTTTAATTTTCTGTGAATAGGGTCATACTTCAATTGATACTGAATATTCCTATTTGAACTTGTGGCTGCTTGCCATATATTTAAATCCTCTTTATCATTCTTGTATATTCCTAAGCATATTTTCTTTGTTTTCTGTCTCCCTTTTGTCTTTGTTTTTCCCTACTATTGTCAATTGGGGTTTGTTATGGACACCCCTACATGCTGTAAAATTGATCAAACAGGATGGAATAGAGAAAAGGGTCCAGAAAGAATAAGTTTGAGTCGGTGAAGAAAGGGACTTTGGAGTGGCAAGACCTGGCAAGAAAAGAAAGGATTGTGTGAGATGTTGGCATTTTTGGCTAGAACATTTAGATGAAAAAAGAGATTTACTGCTTTAAAGAACTTGTAATCACCCTGGAATTAGGGATTTTCAGGATAAATCTGTAGCACCTGGTATGTGGAGTAAAATTTTTCATTTTTTTAATTGGTCAATTGGTCAGTATTTGCCTGGGACAATCTTCTGATCGCATAGATGACTCTACTATCGTCTAGCAGGGTCCACATTGCCAACTTCCCTACAAAAAAAATTGTTTCTTTCTTTTTTACTCTTAATCTCTCTAAACTATAATTATAGGCCTTGCAACACCAATACACTCCGATGTGGGACCAAGTGGGGATACTTAAACAGTGTGATAGCAGGAATCTCTTGTATATATGGGAGGTGCTATTTACCAGCGTTCTAAATCCATGCAACACCCCCATGCTGGATGTGCCTTCATTGTGGGTCAACTTATACAACAGGTTAAAACAATGTCACTAGCTCCGCATTCTCGCAAAATATTCTATTGCTCATGCGTGTCGGCATCGAGCGCGCGTCTTTCAAATTCTCTGTTTTAGTTCTATTTTGATTTTATTCTAATGCTGGTTTGCCGTTGCTGTAATTTGAATTTGAAGGTTATTAACTGTTCTTTCAACCTGCAAAATACGAAAATAGTTTCGTTGAAAGCGCTAGTTGTTTGTAGTGATAGCTGTAGGTTGTTAACGCCTGATGATAATTTTCTCAACTTTACTTATTATAGGCCTACCTGGCTACAGTGTCTTTTTGAAAATAAAATAAATAAAATATACTACTTGTTAGTAAAGTATTAGTAATAGTTTTTGGTTTTTCATGTTAGTCACATATTGTAATTTTTTGGATTAGAATTCCTTTTGTTATCGCGAGTGTGCCAAATCCCATTTTATGTGTTTTATTGTCGAGGATATTGATCAGAAATTTTACAGCTGCATTTCTAAAAATACATTCCTAGAGCTGACATTCCAGTATCATATTGTTTAAATCAGTGTTTCTCAATGGGAGCGATATCACCCCCATGTGGGTGTTTTTCGATGTTGAGAGGGCGATTAGTAACAATTTATATTTTGGGGGGCAAAAAACAATTTTTTGGGCGATATAGTAAAACATTGTATTAAGAATAATTAGATATTTTATTCGTTATATCGTACAATAATTAAACAAATAGCATTATATTAGTCACTAGTCTATTCAATGCAGTATGAATTTGGCGTTAGCCTTGGCCCTGGGCATCAGAATTTTGAAGTGAAGGGAGCGATACTACATAACGGTTTTATTGAAGGGGCGATACTATGTTGACGGGGGCGGCGATTCGTTAGAGGTGAGAAACACTGGTTTAAATTGTCTTACATTTATCTGTTTTGTAAAATAAAGTTTGTTGTCCAAGCTCTGTATTAAATGCAGTTTGTCTGCTTCCCCAGCATCTTACAAATTTGCATTGTAGGAGCTAATAAATAGGGACATTACTTTTATATAAATAAATTTTTAAAATTATGCATTTCTATATCTATATCTATCTATATATATTAAAAGCAAAATGTTCTGTCACCACCAACTGAAACCAAAACTAACACTTTACACAGAAGTGCTATAACTAGAGACTCAACTCTGACTACGTGAATGAAATTTAACCGAATTAATCAATGCAGACAACAAGTACTTTATCCACATTTTCTGAAATGTTATGTTTATAATAAAATAAAATAAAAATCTGTATATCTGTATCTGTTTTGTGTGAAATTTACATATATATATAAATAAATCTATATCTATATCCATATCTCTCTCTCTGCTGCGTCAATAGTGTGTGATAAGTCCTTTGTAGAGCCAAAACTTAGTGCTGACATATTCAATTATATTACTTTATTATTTTTAGTTTTAAATAAATTTTATTTATTTATTATTATTTATTTAATTTTGCCTACTTTTTAAAAATTTTAATTATAAGCGAGTTAACATTGATTGAACTATTGGGCTATGTAGTTTTGATTAATTTTGTATGTCTTACTAACATATTTACAAATAATTTCTTAGAAAAAATTATAATTTCTTGTAATAATTTTATATTTATGTAAAGATAATTTAGATTATTCTTATGTGGAAATTTGTGTCTTTCCGATAAATCTCCTTGTCGGTGTGAATAGTGTTGACCTCCGTTGAGTTACTGGTTAGTCTCATAAGGACACGCAAATTTTCTTTGGTTAGATTATTTCTATCGGGTCTTAAGACGATTTCTGCAATCAAAAAATTTTTTTGACGTCGGCAAACGATAGCATTAAAGGCATTTTCAGTGCCAAAGTGGTTGAAGCCGTTGTTATTCTCCCGTTACTTTTCCAGAAATCTATTTGCTGTTCTTTCTGAAACTGCATCTTTATATTGTGATCGTTTTCTGCTTAAAACACTCTCTCTTTGGAAAAATTAGCCAATTTCGATGGTAATTTGACGGATAAGTCTGTTGAAACTATTTTAGAATGATCAATAACCAGACAGATCTCCAAAATGCAATTATCAGATGTTTTCCGATCACCAAAAGTATCTGTAAAAATTACAGACAGGCGAATACTATCCATGAATACTAAAAGGTATTTGAGTAATTGAGATCTTCAAATATCCCATTGATAAAAATAATTTAAATACTATAAATACCTCTAATATCATGCCATACATACAGACATTGCCTCTTCGTCCAGGGCTCCTAGATAGATTGAGTCAATTGTACCAAAGTGTCGGTATAAGTTCTCCCAAATTATGGAATTTTATTGACTTTTATGACTTACTGACTAAATTTTAATTGCTTATTAATACTTTAACAGGGTTTTCAAGAGCAAATGGAAAACAGTGCTTCCGAAATATTAGACAAAATCGACATCATCGGTTCCGCTGGTAAAGGGGAAGCAGAAAAACTCGGACATTCGGTAAGAATACGTGTAAAGCCATACATTCAAATTTCTAGCAAAACGATCAAACCTTTATTTTGTGTACACATAGGTGACGAATATGGTCGGTTATTTCGATCCACTAGTTAAAAGTGCTATCGGCAGTGCATCAAAAACATTAAATTCCAAACAACAAATGGCAATTTTGGATCAGACTAAAACAGTTGCAGAATGTGCACTCCAGTTAGTGTACACTGCAAAAGAATCCGGCGGAAATCCCAAGGTAAATAAATCGTTCGATTTATCTTAGAATATAAAATGGATCGCTCTTAATGTTTTACTCTTTAGGCCACGCACCTGCATGGTGAAATAGACGAGTCGGCAGATGCCATGAAAGATGCCCTGCAGGATCTGTTGCACACGTTAGAAGTTGCCACCACGGAAACGGGAGTCATCACGGGAGTGATCGAATCTATAAATAAATCCGTCTCAAAAGTAAATAACAAATTGATAAAAATAATTTAAATACTACAAATATCTCTAATATATGCATCGCCCAAGTAATTATTATGCAATAATCTAAACGGCAGTGTATTTTCAAATATTTAGATGGATGATTATCAAGTTAGTTCCAGTCAAGATTCTTTCGTGGATTACCAAACCAGAATGGTAAATTCGGCAAAAGAGATTGCCAGAATTGCCCAGGAAATGGTTAGATTATGTTAAAATAAAACCCGATATTTAACAATGTTACGTTACTTATTATGTTAATCTAATCTGTAAAATTTACAATTATAGATAACAAAGTCTACGACCGACGTGGCTCAACTGGGACCGCTTACGGCAAGAATGTCCCACGAATTCGCTAACTTGGCTTCGGATGCCAGAGGAGCCATTTCTGCCACTCCAAACGTAGACGTGAGTCCTATTTGAAAGTATTTGTATCCATTGTATTACATTTGTTGTAGATATAATATTTCTGCCATAATGAATTATCTATTATTTTTTGTCAACATGTTATAATTAAACAGTGTATGAGTAAGAATGTTGTATTATACACAGGTTGCCGGAAGAATTCGGTCGAGTGTTCAGGATCTGGGAAATGCATGCATACATTTAACAAAATCTGCCAGTTCTTGTCAGAGCAATCCCGGCGACAGTTTCAGTCAACATGATATCGCCGACAATTCCAGACTCGTGGCAGAAAAGGTACAAAAGAAATTCTCTCTTTATTTTTCTCAAATTCGATTGGCTGTTACATTTTGGAATTCTTTTAAATAGGTTTCCTTCGTGCTAGCCGCACTCCAGGCAGGATCTCGCGGAACACAGGCCTGCATCAGTGCCGTCAGCACCGTCAACGGCATCATCGGAGATCTGGAGACCACCATCATGTTTGCCACTGCAGGAACTCTGCACGCCGAACATGAAACCGAAACTTTTGCCGATCACAGGTAAGTGCAACTATTCTCAAATCGTTCTTAATAGAATTAATTATTTTTTTACATTTAATTTATTTCCATTTTATTTATTTAATTACATTTTTAAGTGCCATTATAATTTTGATACAATTTAAATGTAAATGTTATGATATTTTCTAATTGAAACTATTCAATGATATTGATATTTTGAATTTTGAAAATTAAATATTGCTCTATATAAAATATTAATAGAAAATGAGCAACATTTTTCATAGATCAATTAGTTAAGTAATGCAGATACAAATTTCTAATTTATTAGTTTGATTATAGTTTTAACCGGATCAATAAAATATTTAAGTAACTTGTAATAATACATTGGCGTCCAAATACGTGCTAAATCGTAACTGTCGATCCGTTACCCAACATCGACTGCGAGTCTTTTGTAAAATGCAGTCTTGNCAAATTACTTTTACTATATAATTTAATTTGGCGTTAACATACTCAATCAGCTAATTTTTGTAATGATGCAACAGATTAAAGCTTCTTTTGACTCTGATTCCTTGCTAATTCCACGCCAAAGAAAAACAAAAATGTTACTGAAATTTGAATTTGTTTTGCTGGGTTTCTTTTATTAAAACTTTATTTTATTATCATAGTATGGTTGGTAAAAATACAGTAGAGCATCGATTATCCAAATATCGATCAACCAAAACGTTGGTAATACATTGGCTTCCAAATACGTGCTAAATCGTAACTGTCGATCCGTTACCCAACGTCGACTGCGAGTCTTTTGTAAAATGCAGTCTTGCGTTTAGAGCGTATTCATAGTAAATAGCTTATTTTACAGACATGTTTCAGATGTTTACTGTGGCACCGTAGAAAAATAGTACAAAGTAAGTGAATCGGTGTTGTTAAAACTAATGAAAATAACAAAATATCACCAATAAATATATTGAGACACCCTTTGTTCGGAAGAGCTGACTTCTCTTGGAGGTGGACTATAATAAAAATGCCTTAAAGTATACTATGGCATTTTTATATACAAGCAGTATTGTATCTTTATATACAATGCTGCTCGAACAGGTATACTTTTTTCCATGGATAGTGTATGCACAAACCATTTGTCTGCAATTCTAATTCTCTGCAGCATTTGGAATTTTATCTTAAATTAAACATTCAATGATTTTTTCCCCACTCTTTCAGACCTTTTATGGTTGGATGAGATTGTTAACACATATCCTTTTCTGTCAGACTGCCCAGTGCAACCAATCATTGTTCTCTATAATAAACAAATTCTGCATGTATTGATACATCTAACTCGATCAAGTTATCTCGTAGTCAGTCCCTTGCAAGGGATTTTCTGTTTTGTGCACCAAATATGAGACAGATGCTTACTTTTGCAAAATATTCTATGAGAGTTTGAACAAGGAGTAAATGTTAAAAATTGAGTATTACATATGATAACATGTCTAATAGAGGCATTTCATCCAGACGACTCCAATACACTGTGGCAATTGTGTTATATTTATTCAATATTGTTTTAGATTCGTGCTAATGAAACTAACATTATAATTAGTAAAAAAGATTTTTTGTGTGACAAACCAAAGAAATTTTCATTTCTCAATCACTACTACTACTACGTAACAGATCTGATTGGTTTGTCTCGAGGTGATTTTGACTTTTTTTAGCACCCATGGGCAGATACGTATAATATGAAGTATATTGCGAACGTAAGTGCATATGCTATATATGCTATACTAGCTGCAGTGTTCAAATTTCTCGGTAATTAAAAATATACAAAGATGATTCGATGCCACATGCACTCAAAATCTTATTTCCAAAATAAATTATTTTGCATTGCTTTAGATAACTCGCAAGTTTATATCCACATGCACAGACTCTCCTTGTTATGTTATTTNGAGTATTACATATGATAACATGTCTAATAGAGGCATTTCACTCAGACGACTCCAATACACTGTGGCAATTGTGTTAAATTTATTCAATATTGTTTTAGATTCGTGCTAATGAAACTAACATTATAATTAGTAAAAAAGATTTTTTGTGTGACAAACCAAAAAAATTTTCATTTCTCAATCACTACTACTACTACGTAACAGATCTGATTGGTTTGTCTCGAGGTGATTTTGACTTTTTTTAGCACTCATGGGCAGATACGTATAATATGAAGTATATTGCGAACATAAGTGTATATGCTATATATGCTATACTAGCTGCAGTGTTCAAATTTCTTGGTAATTAAAAATATACAAAGATGATTCGATGCCACATGCAATCAAAATCTTATTTCCAAAATAAATTATCTTGCATTGCTTTAGATAACTCGCAAGTTTATATCCACATGCACAGACTCTCCTTGTTATGTTATTTGTAACTATGGGATATTGCACTGTCTGTTTGTAATAGTGGAAGTGTTTGGATAGTGCACGGGCCAGATCAGGTCTGTGGGCTGTCCCTAATATAGAACATTTAATAATTATTTGTCCCTCATTTAAGATCATTTTGCCACTTTTTTTTGTATTTCTACGGTAAATAATCCAAATCTTTCGCTTTATAAGGAATGAAAATTGATAATTGTTTTCAAATAATTACATTTGATTTACTCTAAACTATTCCTGTTTCTTATTTAACAGTGCAATAGATTTGAAAGGCATTTTACTGAGAATTGATAGTCTCAGATTTAAGTTTTGATTAGTATGTCTTACTCTGTTCTTTCATGTTTTTTGTTTACATTTTAGATACATTAAATTGTATTAAACATGATAAAAATTGCATTTTTGTAACATGCATTACAGAGAGAATATTTTGAAGACTGCCAGAACATTGGTAGAAGACACGAAAACGTTGGTGACCGGTGCGGCCTCCAGCCAGGAACAGCTGGCCGTTGCGGCACAGAATGCCGTCGCCACCATCATACAGCTGGCCGAAGTGGTCAAGATGGGTGCGGCGTCTCTCGGATCAAATAATCCCGAGGCGCAGGTACGGCCACGGTCTTTCAAGACCGCATTTCTTCCTTTCTCTCATATTTAATTAAAGTCACTCAAAACATAACAGTGTAAACATACATCTTTTATCTTACCGACGAGCGAGACTTATTGCATTCTGACCACATTGAAATTTTTCTGCAAATGCATGTTAATATGTTGTAATCTTATAGGTGTTGCTGATTAATGCCGTGAAAGATGTGGCCACCGCACTGGGCGACTTGATCCAGTCGACTAAAGTCGCTTCAGGCAAGAGCATCCATGATCCATCCATGCTCTACTTAAAAGAATCGGCAAAGGTTCGTGTTAATTATCTCGATTTTTATGAAAAATGCTATGGAATCTTTCATCCAGAATTGTTTCATTTATTTTTTTTTCTTTGTTTCTTGCAGGTTATGGTGACAAATGTTACCTCTCTTCTAAAAACCGTGAAATCCGTAGAAGACGAACATTCACGTGGCACTCGAGCCCTGGAGAGTACAATAGAGGCTATCGGACAAGAGATCAGAGTAAGAGATCGTTTGTGAAATTTCTTTTTTTGGGAAGCGATCTTTGGAATAACTCGTTTGACCATTTAGGCCTTCGACTCGTCCGAGCCGCCGTCCAGAAAAGCCCTTCCCGAAGATCTGGTGAGAGCGACCAAACCGGTCACCCTGGCCACGGGCAAGGCGGTCGCCGCAGGAAATAGCTGCAAACAGGACGATATCATAGTTGCCGCTAACATGGGAAGAAAAGCGATAGTCGACCTGCTGACTACTTGCAAGGTGAATTTTTTTATAAATTTGTCAAAAATACAAAATTCTTTCATATTTAAATTTACTAACACCGGATAATTGGTTGGATTTTAAAGTCAAGTGGATCTTTCATTTTCAGCAAGTCATGTACTGTTATTTCTGACATTATGCAGTTACTTTATTCCATGAGTGTTGCATAAAGTGAGTCACTTTTTACATGGGAAAAATAAGTATATTTTTGTATTGGGAATGCATTATTAAGTTATCTAGAATTTAGATGATGTTTTTTCAAATTACTCCATCTGTGACTAGTAACTTAATCAGATTACAAATAGTGTGTGGATCATCTTTTCCTCAGTCCTTTGAAAGTTCTTGGTTGACGGATCGATGATTTTCAGTTCTCTCAAAGAAACTACATTAAGAAATTTAAGATTGAATGTTTTTGACACTTCGGATTCCGTGGTTGCAGAAGACCAGAACGTGCACGTCATAGCGCTGGACATGACAGTTGGTTCGTAAACCTAGACGTGCCTTGATTATTTTGGTTTTTTGAATCACACACTATGCAGAAATGGATTTACATAATTTTGCAAAGATTTATGTAACGAAGGATGTACGTATTTGTCTCTCGTCGATCTTTGTACAGTTGCATTAGAATAATTCAGATAGAAAACTTACTTATGGCAAAAGTATGAGCCAAATTACTTTTACTATATAATTTAATTTGGCCTTAACATACTCGATTAGCTAATTTTTGTAATTATGCAACAGATTAAAGCTTCTTTTGACTCTGATTCCTTGCTAATTCCACGCCAAAGAAAAACAAAAATATTACTGAAATTTGAATTTGTTTTGCTGGGTTTCTTTTATTAAAACTTTATTTTATTATCATAGTATGGTTGGTAAAAATACAGTAGAGCATCGATTATCCAAATATCGATCAACCAAAACGTTGTTAACCAAAAGCGTTCCAGTTCGGCAAATTCAAATTTTCACTAGTGCTGTGGCAATCCGGCACTCTCCCCCTCCCTGCCAACCTAAACTGTAGGCCTAGTTTAATGTACTACATTATGTAAGGTATGTATTTGTAAGACCTGTGATACAAAATATATACAGTACAGTCTTGTGTTTAATATATTTTCGTAAATGATCAGTTATCCGAACAACCCCAGTCCTGAATTGTTTCAGATAATCGATGCTCTACTGTAATTGCAACTTTCGTTTTTCTTCTAAAAGATTGAGGGACAACAATGACAATTATTTTAAAATAATTCTTTTCTCGTCAAAATGCTTGAGAAACCAATCAAATAAATTTAAATATGTATCGAAAGAATAATTTGTTTCCAATAGATTATTAAATAACAACAACAATAGCAAACATCACCAAGATTATTGTTATTAATTTTAATTAATTTTTTATTTTTTTGAGATATTTAATCTTGTTGAAAACTGTAAAGAGTATATGTAAAATTTTATTTGCATGACTAAGTTTTCGTGTAGCTACAGAGTTCGGTCATTGGTCGTTTCTTTGAGAAAACTTCCACACTAGAAATTTGCCACAATCACTTAGAATTTCATACTTGTCGAGGAGCAATTATGTAATTAATTAACTTAATACTTAATTTCCTCACTGGGTTAGTTAATAAAATCTAAAAGACCACCAAATTTTAAAATCACAATTAAAATTTCCATTTAACAATGGGTCTGTATTAAAACTGAAAGTGGTCTTAGGTTTGCTGAATGGTATTTATGACATTGGGTGGCATTTCGACCGAATCTGCTGTTAATACCCTATTCCGGTATATTTTTTAAAAGATAAAAATAAATGCTATTTTTGCCATTGACAGGCTGCCGCATATTCTGCGGAGACTATTCATACCAGGACCAAGATCATGGATGCGGGACACCAGTGTGCCATTCATTACAGGGAACTGCTGCAGATGGTCCATCAGGTACGAGATGCTGATATTAATATTTTTCCCGGTGGTGTACCGATAAAAGTTTATTCGTTTGAGAATTACAATTATTTATATTAATGTATAATGTTAGGTTATCCAAAAACCTAGTCAGACGGGAAGGCAACAGCTCGTCATCATGTCTAGAACCATAGCCACTTCTATCACGGAAGTGGCCAACGGGGCAGAGATGCTGAAAGGTACGATTAAGAAATTTATTGTTTTAAGAAAAGATATCGGAATAAATTTAAATCTGATATTTGGCATCAGGATCCGACTGGGTGGACCCAGACGACCCGACCGTCATCGCCGAGACGGAGCTCCTCGGAGCAGCCAACTCGATCGACGCGGCTGCCAAGAAGCTGGCAAGTCTCAAACCAAGAAGAAGCATCAGAGTAAGTCTTGCATCAAAATGATAAATTGCAGGTGGATTGGGATCCGAATTACAACAGAAGGGACGACGGTTATGACAAAACTATTCTCCTAATTGTCAGATATGTTTGATATTCTTGGTTGTGGCTTATATCCAACCAAGAATCAGACATATGCTGATGAGGAGGAGACTACACTACGGAAGCGTCGTCATCACGTAGAATTAAATTAGTCCTTGGAAATAGTCTCTAAGTTTATCGTTGCATTACGCTTTTTTTCAGGAAACCGACGAGAGCATGAATTTCGACGAGATGATCCTGGAGGCAGCCAAGTCGATCGCTGCTGCCACCTCCGCCCTGGTGAAGGCCGCCTCGGCAGCCCAGAGAGAGTTGGTTGCCGCAGGAAAGGTAGGCAAATCGTCGTCGTAGATTAGACCAGTCTTCTTTATTGTATTAAATATACTTAACAAAGTAATTCAAACTTTATTTCTATTTACCTTTTGGTGCCAAACAACTTAATCCATTTATTTAATTTTGGAATACATGTCACGATGTTAAATTTTTAAGTTTAGTTTTATACATTAATAGGGACAAACTGCTTTATTTTATTTATTATTCAATACTTTCGAACAATAAGCATAGACCGACAGTATTGTAATTTTAAAATATTTAAAATCAGTTATTTTATTAATTGCACCAAATTCAAAGTTACATTCTATATATGATTAAAGAAAATTCACACCTTTCTCACACTTTCCAGCAGTAACTAAATAAACAAACTGTTTAATATAGCATTAACTCAAACGAAATCCAAACCATAAGCTAACTAACTTAATTACCATTGCTTAAATTGATGTTAAATTACTTTTTCTGATATCAAAAAAGTAATAATCATCAAAAAAACCAAAATTTTAATCATTTCCCTCACCCCCTTGACCTACGAATGGGTCAAACAATGAAAATTTTAATCATTATTGGAATCATTATTTACTATGTTTTTGAGAACACACTGTCCTACCCTCAAAAATAAGCCTATTTTTATGAAGTAAACTATTGCTAACTCGGATAAACCTTTTCAAAAAATTGCATGGTAATTTACAATTTCTCGACAATGGAAAAATTATGATTGACGAGTGTTTTTGATACTGTGCATTATATTATTATAGTTGGTAAGTTACTAAAGACTACGTTGCCATATACTTTACTGTCGTAAAAATTTTTTTAGCTCATTTCCTGTAATAAATTCGGCAGTCTAATCTTCTCTTCTAGTTTGATTTGAAGCCCTCTTAAAGCATCTTAACAAAAACAGATCTGTCCCAGTGCTCCAGCTATTGCTGTTGTGATCTGGAGAGAGGATTAATGTTTAATGAGTAGGAAGTAGGAACGGCATATACCACCTTCAATCTTTGTAACATTCACAAATGCATCTTGTGTGGAAATTCCAGTTACTGACACCTTAGCAAAAGCACATTCCTGTGAAAATTTGTCAAGAGATGCAAAGGATAGGTGCATTCATAAACATGATAATGATTATTGCAGATAAAATTGAATCAAAATGGTGTAGGTGAAACATAGCCTCATTGTCGTCAGTGATAGTGTCATAATTAGGCAGGTGCACAGGCACAGGCCCAAGACAAAAAGAAGGGTCTCTAAAATGGTGTATCAAAAAATGATCTGTATAATATTTATAAGCCAGCAATGCCATTGCTTTTGGCAGGTTATTTATTAATCCATCTTTATGTAATTTTAAATTTTGCCTCCCGTGGGCACTGATTCCATAATGTTTTTGGTTAAAATAAAAATAACTAACCCTTTCTCTTGTATTTGTTACTTTATTTTATTTCCAGTAAAAAAGAGGGAGCCAAGAATAATCTTATACAGAGCACATGAAAAGCTAGTTATGGCACTGATCATGATTGTCAACTCTGAAGAAGACAACAATTGTTGGTTTACCAACAGGCTGTGCCACTTAATGCTATTACTGTGTTTTCTTGATTCTAATGCCACTGAATGTAATGTGCATCCAATTCATTGCCAATAGCCACATTTACATGCACATGGATGGAGGCACACCACAACTATGCAAGATCTCACATTGCTTGTACAGTTGTGGAATACTTAATATTTTTCTAATCCATCCCACTCTCTGCAACATCTTGTTATTCAGAAACACTTTCCATTTTTGTCCACAGACACTGGAATCTGTTCCAAGGCAACATTTCAAAAGACTACTTCTGCCTCTCTTTGGACAACAACGGAAGTGTCGGACAAAAATATTTGATTGCACGACAACTATTTTGAAAAGAACAAAATTTGGACAATTTTTCCCATGGCACATCTCGATTAAGTTTGTGGCAATTTTTTTTTTATTGAAGGCTCGTATGTCATCTCTTCCGATCCATAGCAATATTACACTTTTTATTTGCATTTTGCCGTTCTCTTACAAATGACTTCATAATTTCCAACAATATTTTATTATAATTTCTTCTCTAATGAGCTGCCCATTGTTTGGGCATTGTACATATCAATTTTCAGAAAAACATCCACTTTGCACTTTAGCTTCTTTCCAACTTTACTAAAGCATCTCCTATCTTTCTGGCATCGAATGCATGGTTTCATTCCAGAATATCTAGTCTACATTTTCAAAATTGGTATCGGTGTTTTCCTTCTTTCTGTTTCTGTAACGAGACTCCCTTTCGGTAGTAGTCATTAGCCCTTAGCCTTATTTATACAATAAGGTGTGCACCGAGTGCCATTTAGATTTTTTATAATTATAAATATTGGCCGGCCACGTGCAAGGTTCTGCGCTGGCTTCTGAACTGCCGTTAAGGAAATAATTGCTTCTCGTTCTTTTGAAATGGTCTGTCAGATAAAAAGTCTAAGAACTAATAAATTCTAAGGCTACTTACATGTATATTAAGAATTTTAATGTATTTTTCTACAAAATTTGCATTTTGAGAAATAAACGTTAAAGTTCACAAAACTTGGAATCACATATATGAACCAAAAAAATCAAAATACTGCTTATTTGTAAACACTGTGTATTCCTTAGAAAATTTTCTTTTTGTTTTCAGAAATATATCTCTTTTATGTTTACAACTAATTATTTCATATTTAAATTTGTTTTTTTTTAGGTGGGAGCCCATCCCCTGTACACGTCCGACGACGGTCAGTGGTCGGAAGGTCTCGTTTCTGCCGTAAGTACCGATTTATTATTTCCTCTTCTTAAAGTGATATTAGAGGTATTTGCAATGAGGAACTTTTCTTGCTTTTAGAAGAGAGGCATTATATAAAAATTGTGAACCATAAACATGGAAATAGAACTTCTGCCAGGTAAACCATAATGACTGTGACCAAATGATTGCATTAATATGCTGCAATAGAGTGAAAAACAAATTCTTCCTGTCTTCACTAGAACTAAATATGACATTAACATTATTTTTTAAGTAATTGGTGTTCAAATACTTGTCAGAAAATTATCAATAAACAGCAACTTCTAGGATCAAATACAAGAGGCATAATTTGGATCTAAATGAGATCCAAATTATGTAAATTGTAAACTTTCCCAAGTATGAGACATCAAGTCTGTGTTTTCTTTTTTTTTTTTTATAAACTTTGAGATAGTGGACAAAAAAATGACAATAAATAATGAGATAAAACTTGCAAAAGCCTCTCTTTTCTCTAAGAAAGCCACAAAAACCATAAAAGTCAACATGGTAAGAGAAACTCCTGACTGCAAATACCTGTATTGCTCTAACAGTCTGAAGAATCATTATGATCTGCAGAACATTGTGGAAGTTGAACGCAATGCAAGAATTTTGAATAATTTGTCTACCCAAATATTTACACAAGTAAATTAGTTTTATCTATACCAAAATCTTTTTTAAAGAATAAATCAAACTTCTGTAACTATTACATTAAAATGTTAAAATGTCAAGGTATTATAAACTCTCATTTCTGATCTTTATATTGTATCAAGCATTTCACGTGGAATGTGGAAAAATGACGGCTAAATAAAAAGTCAAGAGTTTCGTTGCTGTCGACACTTAAGAGAATTACGCTTTGTGAATCGTGACGGCAAACAAATACGTGATAAAGTAATGGTAATTTTGTACGCATTACAAATTCCAGTCGACATAAGGGAGCAAAACAAGGGGAATCGGTTAAAACAAAAGTTTAGCGGCTTAAAAAGCTAAAATTAATTGCACGTAACCTTTAGCTTATTTTGAGTTTAAAACAGTACTAAAATAAATGAACCAAATTTAAGAGGTGGGCATTCAAAAATGTTGTTAACAAGAAAAATAAAAGTGATGGAACGTATCTGCCTAAAATCATAATTCTGTCATAATGCAATAAATATCAAATTTAATTTTTCTTTATGCTTAAGCATAATGTTGTTATAATTTGGAAAGAATTCAAAAATACTAGTGATTAGTAAACCTATTACAATGGGTAGATATTTATAATAGCGCTCAATATTCATTAAGTGCTATCCACTTGTTATCTGTTAGAAGGAAAGGCACCAAATTACTGGGAGATTTTGTGATTCACTTATCTACACTTTATAACTTTCTATATATCTATTGGATTGATCCTTTTAAAAAAATGTTTTTTTTGGCTAACTGCAAAAATGCTCTTAATTTTAAACTTTCATCTTTTGTTATGTGCTAATAATGGTTATATCTGCTTGCTGTAATTTGCAAAATTACCATAAAAGTTTTATATACTTGTGTCTGAAAGTAAGTGTAATCATCCAATCTGTANAAAAATGCTCTTAATTTTAAACTTTCATCTTTTGTTATGTGCTAATAATGGTTATATCTGCTTGTTGTAATTTGCAAAATTACCATAAAAGTTTTATATACTTGTGTCTGAAAGTAAGTGTAATCATCCAATCTGTAAATAGAGGGGGGAATGAATAGCGGAAAATGAGTTTGAACCATTTGCTAATACTCGGGATGCATTTTTAATGGAATATTTATGCAAAATACGCAGACTCTGTAAATATGGCAATGGCGTGGCTTTGTTTCTGTTGCAACAAACCAGCAAGGATGGTTTGTTACAATTTTACTGTCTGATTTCAAAACTTATGATGCTACAGAGACAATTTTATGAAAGGATAAAAGTGGGCCAGTCGTGGATGCTTAATTGGGAGGCTGAATGTGCTGCAGTGTGCCGTATCTGGGCAAAGAGCCCAGATATATGATGTTGAGTGGAAAGTGGACATCAAAGTGTTACTCCTACTGGGACTGCTATTTGATGTTAATAGTGCACTGTAACAAAAGAATATCCTATAGGCAGGAGGCTTTCAATGAATGGTCAGATGCCTGGTACAATGTGTTCTATTGAATCCTGTTCACAGAACAGCCAATTGAAAATGGTGTTGAGATCATCAGGACAATGTTCTGTTTACCGACTGTACCTAGACTCTTCAGAAATCTGGAGAGAATGGAAAGCCCGATATAGTCACGAAAAGAGACTGCAATATCACTAACTGCAAACCAGTCCGAGGTGCTGTAGATGCAGATTTTGTTTTTATGGATGTTAATGCTCACACATATTGGGCCACATTTACTGACAACTTTCATGACAAGGCAAAGGTACTTTGTCTTCAATTTAATGAACTAACAGCCAGCAAGATTTTGAAACTTATATTCCACAGACTACATGCAAGATGTCACAGCAAGACTAGTTACATCTGATTGGCATCCACCGAGAACGCTCAAAGATGCTCTCTGCTCCCAATGGCAGAACAAAATAACCGATACTAGCAATAGAGGAACAGAATTACAGTCGACCCCCCTATAAGATCATTGATTTTTCCGTTTTATCTGAATTACATGTTGTACGAGTCACTTAGATTTTACAAATANTAACAAGAAAAATAAAAGTGATGGAACGTATCTGCCTAAAATCATAATTCTGTCATAATGCAATAAATATCAAATTTAATTTTTCTTTATGCTTAAGCATAATGTTGTTATAATTTGGAAAGAATTCAAAAATACTAGTGATTAGTAAATCTATTACATTTGAGCAATGGGTAGATATTTGTAATAGTGCTCAATATTCATTAAGTGCTATCCACTTGTTATCTGTTAGAAGGAAAGGCACCAAATTACTGGGAGATTTTGTGATTCACTTATCTACACTTTATAACTTTCTATATATCTATTGGATTGATCTTGATGATTGGATCTGCAAAAATGCTCTTAATTTTAATTTTTCATCTTTTGTTATGTGCTAATAATGGTTATATCTGCTTGCTGTAATTTGCAAAATTACCATAAAAGTTTTATATACTTGTGTCTGAAAGTAAGTGTAATCATCCAATCTGTAGATAGAAGGGGAATGAATAGCGGAAAATGAGTTTGAACCATATGCTAATACTTGGGATGCATTTTTAATGGAATATTTATGCAAAATATGCAGACTCTGAAATATGGCAATGGCGTGGCTTTGTTTCTGTTGGAACAAACCAGCAAGGATGGTTTGTTACAATTTTACTGTCCGATTTCAAAACTTATGATGCTACAGAGACAATTTTATGAAAAGATAAAAGTGGACCAGTGGTGGATGCTTAATTGGGAGTCTGAATGTGTTGCAGCGTGCCGTATCTGGGCGAAGAGCCCAGATATATGATGTTGAGTGGAAAGTAGACATCCAAGTGTTACTCCTACATGGGACTGCTATTTGATGTTAATAGTGCACTGTAACAAAAGAATATCCTGTAGGCATGAATGGTCAGATGCCTGGTACAATATGTTCTATTGAATCCTGTGCACAGAACAGCCCATTGAAAATGGTGTTGAGATCATCAGGACAATGTTCTATTTACCGACTGTACCTAGACTCTTCAGAAATCTGGAGAGAATGGAAAGCTTGATATAGTCACGAAAAGAGACCACAATATCACCAACTGCAAACCAGTCTGGGGTGCTGTAGATGCAGATTTGTTTTTATGGATGTTAATGCTTACACATATTGGGCCACATTTGCTGACAACTTTCATGACAAGGCAAAGGTACTTTGTCTTCAATTTAATAAACTGAACAGCCAGCAAGATTTTGAAACTTATATTCCACAGACCACATGCAAGATGTCACAGCAAGACTAGTTACATCTGATTGGCATCCACCGAGAATGCTCAAAGATGCTCTCTGCTCCCAATGACAGAACAAAATAACTGATACTAGCAATAGAGGAGCATTAGTCATTTTCTGTACAAAAGATCTACAACAATGCTTAGCACTTCTTATTTTTTGGGGTTTGACATAATTCAAATTAAATTATTTCTTTTCAATTGTTTTGTTTCCTAAAGAATACAAAGTTCTGCACCGTACCAATCAGTAGTTCCAGCAATGTAGGCCAAATTAACAATTATGCTTAATTTTTGAACACAAGCATATATTTTCAGGGTGCAACATCAATTTATAAACCTAAGTTTGTGACATGTTAGATTCCATTTATATTAACTATTTTCCTTTGTGAAAGTTAACTTTGATATTAATTTGTCATTTCAGGCAAGATTGGTGGCCGCCGCCACTCACAGTCTGGTTGAAGCCGCAAACTCGTTGGTGCAGGGTCACGCTTCCGAAGAAAAACTTATCTCTTCTGCCAAGCAGGTGGCCAGTTCGACCGCACAACTCCTGGTGGCTTGCAAAGTGAAGGCGGATCCCGATTCTCAGTCGACCAAACGTTTACAGGTAAATAGAATAGACTTTGTAACACAATTCTATTATGTTCAAATCTTTTATTTTACAAAAAAGTTCTTGCCAGTAACAGCTCATGATAAGCATCACAGAACTGTAGGGGCCTCAAAAATAAATACCATTCCTATTAGGTACGTTGCTTGCCATGCACGTTAACACAACTGCACCGTTAAACAGTGTAGTGCCACCTCCCACTCAGAGAATGGCCATTGCACCATTTAACGGTGCCATAACAGGAGGGTGTGGGACGGGAATTAGTTACTGGGTTGAATCATTTCTTACTATTAACTTTAATATGGAAAACAATTTTAAAGTTTCATAACATTCTGAACAATATTGAGCATAACAAGCAGAAGTATAGTGGTGCCTTGTACTTTGAATTTAGTTCGTTCCAGGAGGTTGTTCGAAGTCCGAATCAATTTTCTCCCATTAGAAATAATGGCAAATGAATTAATCTGTTCCGAGACCCTAAACAGTACCTGTTTCGATAAACTTAATTTAAGGTAACGATAACATAATTAAATACCCTAAATAATAAATTAAAACATAAGAACAATAAATAAAATATGTAAATACTATACCTTAGTTGAGGAGCAGTGTCCCATTCCTTAAGGTAGCTTGCTTGGCTTTCTTGCAAATAATTCTCTCTGGAGATGATATCACTAGCCAGTTGCTTCTCATTTATTCACATTAGGAAGAGTTTTTCAGTCTCCTGGAGGAAAGTGTAAAAAGGACTGAAAACACAAAGCATGAAAGTTATACACATGTGGTAATCTGGTGGCCACAACATTTGAGATGCCAAAGTCGACTGACTTTGACATCTCAAACATTGCACCATTTTTAAGAACGAGGAAGCGACAAAAACAATAAATGTGACTAAGGATGCAACAATAGAGAGGTTGCGGCCAACGTTTTCAACGCGAAAACGTGTACGTCGGACGTTCAGCGCCGCCTTCCTGCGAGCCTAGAAGTTTGACAATGGTGTTTGGAACGTCAGTAGAATTGTGCTCGATGTTCTAAACGCCATTGTCAAACTTTTAGGCTCACAGGAAGGCGGCGCTGTACGTCCGATGTACACGTTTTCGCGTTGAAAACGTCAGCCGCAACCTCTCTAATATCACTGCACATTATTGAGAAAATGGAAAAAACTCCTAGTGTGGATAAATGAGAAGTAATTGGCTGACAATGTCACCTTAGAGAGAATTATTTGTGAGAAAGCCAAGCAAGCCATGCAGTAACCTTAAGAAATGGGATATCACCACTCCTCAACTAAGTAAAATTTCAGTAAAATTTCTAATGAGAAAATTGATTGAGTTCCAAAGGCCCTCCTGGAATGAATAAAATTCAAAGTATGAGGCACCACTGTATTTTATGAAACTTAGGTATCCTGCCTTATGGGATGTTGAAACTCAACACCAATATATACTTACATATATAAAGTACAAAATTAGTTTATAATGGACTATAAAACAACATTTTACACACACACACACAGAGTTTTACACAAATCATGCACCATAGGAGATTGCGTAGAGAAGCATCAGGGGCAAGTGTATAGTGTATTGGTTATACCATGAATCACTAACTAATGTAGACCCAGCTTGCATTCTGTGACTCTGAAACTAGGTATGTTGTGAGGATTGAACTTGTTCTATTTAATATGTGAAACATTGCCAGTTGTTTTATTATTATTGCATTTAATTTTATTTAAATAAAAGTAAAAACAACTTAGAATTTAATTATTAATAACGGTGGTAAAGTAGCCCGATTCATTACGGTGATCATTTGGCTTAGTAAAAACATAAAAAAAACTGGTAATGTGTCGTGTTCTTGCTATCGTCTGCATATTGGGAATTAAAAATTACAAGTTCAATCTTCACAATACACTGGTTAGTTCAGAACTATGCAGCTTGGCCTGCATTAGTTAGATTCAATCACAGATGAATTTTGTGCAATTAATTTCCGTTTGACAGTATTATAGACCCAAAATTTTGCAACATACTGTATAACCAGTACACTATACACTGGTGTCCTATGACACACGACTTATGAGAAATCATTTATACACAAGTTGTTACTCAGTACTCAATCTTCTTAGACAGCACAGGTTCTCGCTAAATAATTACAAAACACGAAATGGTGTAACCTAGCGGCTGATGTGTGGCAAAAATGACTTTATACAAAATAGTTTAGAGTACATTTAGTCAAAAGTGTTTTTTTAGTGGTTTATGAAGGTCCTGATGCAAATCGATCAAACAAAACAATTTTCGATTAAACATTTTGCATAAAGACATTTTTTACCAAAGGGAAGCGGTTCGTCGACTCAAGTATGCCTAAACCCACCGGATGGATTGTTGCTTAAAGGGCGAAACATGTTCTTGCCCGTTGAGTTGCCAGTGTAGCGGAAAACCCGCTAGATCGAGCGAGAATATCGAAATTTAGCCAAAACGCCGACACGTAGTAAAACGTTCAGTGAAATTTTTTGACAATGGAAATGTAGCAGGGTAAACATTTCTTAAATAGTTTTATCACTCACACAAAAAATATGAGGTAACTAAGACTGGGCAGCATAAAATCTGGTGAAATCGCCATGGGCTTTGTCATCATTTTGCTTTATTTTCTCAGTTTTTGGTTTCTTGTCATAGTCCAGCAGCGAAAGAGTAGATATAAGTCGGTCTGTGCGGAAAGGCTCCGCGCATTGGACTAAAGGAGATACGTGGGAGTCGACGCACGGATCACGGTAATAAAATTATTTATGATACAGATAGTATAAAAATGTAAAAACAAAGCAGCCGGAAGAGGCCAGATTCACACCTCTCCTTCCATCCCTTTCACATATACTCTTTTGCAACATGGACTACAATAACCGAACCCGAAAATACGTGCTAGGCGAAAGCATAGAACGATAGGAACAGTAATTTTTCAGAAGTTCCAAAAATACATCAACCATTATAAGAGTTTTTTTTTTCAAATTACAGTCTGTTAATTAATTATAAGTGCATTTAATTTTCTGAAGTACGAAAAAACTGTTAAAATTCTTTTTAAATCAAACTTGAAAAAGCATTAATTATAGACAATTCACTGATACTACACAAATTTTAAGCAATATAAAATGATAAAAATACTTTTTTTTTATCATTTTATATTGCTAAAAATTTTTGTAGTATTAACAGAGATATACCGGTCTCTCGGCTATGTTCTAAAGTAGAATTAATGTGTGGGATTGGCGATAGCCGGTGATCCAGTAGCTTTATCCATTCGGTTAGTGTGTAGTTTACCGTTTGCAAGCATTTTTATATGAGAGAGGTTGCGGCCGACGTTTTCAACGCGAAAACATGTACGTCGGACGTTCAGCGCCGCCTTCCTGTGAGTTTAGAAGTTTGACAATGGCGTTTGGAACGTCAGTGGAATCATGCTCGACGTTCCAAACGCCATTGTCAAACTTCTAAACTCACAGGAAGGCGGCGCTGAACGTCCGACGTACACGTTTTCGCATTGAAAACGTCGGCCGCAACCTCTCTAATTTTTTTTCTACGAGAAAAAGAAACAACGGCATGCCGAGTGTAGTCTGAATTGACTTGCATTTTGATGATAGATTTCCGATTAAGAATTATGTGCATATAATACGAGGATAAAAGAGTTGAGATTACGGGTGGAAAATGGCGGGATGTCTTTATCCTTCAAACTTTTCCAATTGCCCGTTTTGTTTGTCAGTTAGAGTTCCAGAACGTTTAAAATTGTTTTCTCAATACTAGCGACTGCTTTTTGGATTGGATAAATTAAATTTAATATATCATCTCATTACTCCACTTTCGTAGCATTACCTCCGAGACCTGTATTAGCTATTTTTCGGGTTTGAATTTACAAAATGTTAACAGTCTTTTCTAAATCCCGAAAACTCGTAAATGTAATAATACATTTTGGCATTTGCGGACGCAGGCTGCCGGAAACGCTGTGAAGAGAGCGACGGACAACCTGGTGAAGGCGGCGCAACAGGCGATAGAACACGACGAGGAGCGAAGTCTGATCATCAACAAGAGGATGGTGGGAGGAATCGCTCAGGAGATCGTGGCCCGAGAGGAGATCCTCAAGAAAGAAAGGGAACTGGAAGAGGCCAGGGAGCGTTTGGCCGCCATCAGGCGGGCCAAATACGGAAACAGACCGGCCGACGACTACCACGGTTACGGTTCTTCCTAGGCCGCCCGAAACACCGGGCAACCACAAATTTTAGTTAGATTTTCCTTTGTATTATTACTATTATTAACTCGTCCGCTAAAATAGTTTATTTAAGAGAATTATGGTCGTTAATCGTTGACTAATATTTAATCCGAGCCGTTAACTCTGTTGTATTTTTCGGATATTAAAAAAAAGAAGAAGAAAGTTATCGTTGAACGTTGCGACATATTTTACCCGACCGCGCCGGTCTGTATATAAAATATACGTACGAGAGTCGTTAGCGACTGCCGGGGAAGAAGCCCGATATCAAGTAAGACGTCCTTTTGCCGCGCGTGCCGCTTACGCCGGCCGTTCATTTACGTGTCGCGTGCGAAACGTTGCGTATTCCGTTTTTTTTTCTATTATTATTATTATATTTATTATTATTATATTATTATTATTATTTAACAGAGAATATTTACATATCAACAGATTATTATACTAATCGTTAACGCATATCGGAGAATTGGTGGGGTGTCTCTCTTACCGGCGTTTTATTACCATGTTTATTTTATCCAGATGGCGTTAACGGCCGTGCTACGAAATTCTCTTCTGTACGTCATTTCCGTTTAATAAAGGCTTGATTTCGTTTGTACTTCGATTTTACCACATTTATTTTCGGCCAAAGTGACCACGTACGC